TAAGCTTCATAAGTGAAGGAGAAATAAAATCCTTTACAGACAAGCAAGTGCTGAGAGATTTTGGCACCACCAGGCCTGCCTTACAAGGGCTCCTGAAGGAAGCACTGAATATGGAAAGGAAAAACCGGTACCAGCCACTGCAAAAACACACCAAAATGTAAAGACCATCGACATGATGAAGAACCTGCATCAACTAATGGGTAAAATAACCAGCTAGCATCATAATAACAGGATCAAATTCACACATAACAATATTAATCTTTAATTAATTAAAAGACACAGACTGGCAAATTGGATAAAGAGTCAAGACCCATGGGTGTACTGTATTCAGGAGACCCATCTCGTGCACAGACACGCATATGCTCAAAACAAAGGGATGGAGAAAGATTTACCAAGCAAATGGAAAGCAAAAAAAAAAGCAGGGGTTGCAATCCTAGTCTCTGATAAAACAGACTTCAAACTAACAAAGATCAAAAAGGACAAAGAAGGGCATTACATAATGGTAAAGGGATAAATGCCACACGAAGAGCTAACTATACTAAATATATATATACCCAATACAGGGGCACCCAGATTCATAAAGCAAGTTCTTAAGAGACCTACAGAGAGATTTAGACTCCCACACAATAATAGTGAGAGACTGACACCCCACTGTTAATGTTAGATCAACGAGACATAAAATTAACAACAATATTCAGGACTTGAATTCAGCTCTGGACCAAGCATACCTAATAGACATCTACAGAACTCTCCACCTCAAATCAACAGAATATACATTTTTCTCAGTGCCACATAGCACTTATTCTAAAATTGACCACATAATTGGAAGTAAAACACTCCTCAGCAAATGCAAAAGGACAGAAATCATAACAAACAGTCTCTCAGACCACAGTGCAATCAAATTGGAACTGAGGATTAAGAAACTCACTCAAAAGGCCGGGCGCAGTGGCTCAAGCCTGTAATCCCAGCACTCTGGGAGGCCGAGACAGGCGGATCACGAGGTCAGGAGATCGAGACCATCCTGGCTAACACGGTGAAACCCCGCCTCTACTAAAAAATACAAAAAACTAGCTGGGCGAGGTGACAGGCGCCTGTAGTCCCAGCTATACGGGAGGCTGAGGCAGGAGAATGGCGAAAACCTGGGAGGCGGAGCTTGCAGTGAGCTGAGATTCGGCCACTGCACTCCAGCCCGGGCAACAGAGCAAGACTCCGTCTCAAAAAAAAAAAAAAGAAAGAAACGCACTCAAAACCACACAACTACATGGAAACTGAGCAACCTGCTCCTGAATGACTACTAGGTAAATAATAAAATTAAGACAGAAATAAATAAGTTATTTGAAACCAACGAGAACAAAGTCACAACATACCAGAATCTCTGGGACACAGCTAAAGCAGTGTTTAGAGGGAAATTTATAACACTAAAATGCCTACAGGAGAAAGCGGGAAAGATCTAAAATCAACACCCTAACATCACAATTAAAAGAACTACAGAAGTAAGAGCAAAGAAATTCAAAAGCTAGCAGAAGACAAGAAATAACTAAGATGAGGGCAGAACTGAAGGAGATAAAGACACAAAAAACCCTTCAAAAAATCCATGAGTCCAGGAGCTGGTGTTCCGAAAAGATTAACAAAATAGACCACTAGCCAGACTAATAAAGAAGAAAAGAGAGAAGAATCAAATAAACACAATAAAAAATCATAAAGGGGAGATCACCACTGATCCCACAGAAATACAAACTACCATCAGAGAATACTATAAACAACTCTATGTGAACAAACTAGAAAACCTAGAAAAAATGGATAAATTTCTGGACACATACACCCTCCCAAGACTAAACCAGGAAGAAGTCGAATTTCTGAATAGATCGATAACAAGTTCTGAAATTGAGGTAGTAATTAATAGCCTACCAACCAAAAAAAGACCAAGACCAGACGAATTCACAGTCGAATTCTACCAGAAGTACAAAGAGGAGCTGGTACCATTCCTTCTGAAACTATTCCAAACAAGAAAAAAAGAGGGACTCCTCCCTAACTCATTTTATGACGTCAGCATCATCCTGATACCAAAACCTGGCAGAGACAAAACAAAAAAAGAAAATTTCAGGCCAATACCTCTGATGAACATTGATGTAAAAATCCTCAATAAAATACTGGCAAACCAAATCAAACAGCACATTAAAAAGCTTATCCACCACCATAAAGTCAGCTTCATCCCTAGGATGCAAGGCTGGTTCAACATATGCAAATCAATAAACGTAATCCATCACATAAACAGAACCAATGACAAAAACCACAAGATTATCTCAATAGACGCAGAAAAGGCCTTCGATAAAATCCAACAGCCCTTCATGCTAAAAAAAAAAACTCAATAAACTAGGTAGTGATGGAACGTATATCAAAATAGTAAGAGCTATTTATGACAAACTCATAGGCAGTATCATACTGAATGGGCAAAAGCTGGAAGCATTCCCTTTGAAAACCAGCACAAGACAAGGATGCCCCCTCTCACCACTCCTATTCAACATCGTATTGGAAGTTCTGGCCAGGGCAATTAGGCAAGAGAAATAAATAAAGGATATTCAAATAGGAAGAGAAGAAGTCAAGTTGTCTCTGTTTGCAGATGACATGATTGTGTATTTAGAAACTCAGCCCAAACACTCCTTAAGCTAATAAACAACTTCAGCAAAGTCTCAGGATACAAAATTAATATGCAAAAATCACAGGCATTCCTATACACCAATAACAGAGAACCAAATCATGACCAAACTCCCATTCGATACACTACTACAAAGAGAATAAAATACCTAGGAATACAACTTACAAGGGATGTGAAGGACCTCTTCAAGGAGAACTACAAACCACTGCTCAAGGAAATAAGAGAAGACACAAACAAAAGAAGAAGAAACATTCCATGCTCATGGATAGGAAGAATAAATATCGCGAAAATGGCCATATTACCCTAATTAATTTACAGATTCAATGCTATTCCCATCAAGCTACAACTGACTTTCTTCACAGAATTAGAAAAAACTACCTTAAATTTCATATGGAACCAAAAATAGCTCATATAGCCAAGACAATCCAAAGCAAAAAGAACTAAGCTGGAGGCATCATGCTACCTGACTTCAATCTATACTACAAGGCTACAGTAATCAAAACAGCATGGTACTGGTATCAAACCAGATACATAGACCAATGGAACAGAACAGAGGCCTCAGAAATAACACCACACATCTACAAGCATCTGATCTTTGACAAACCTGACAAAAACAACCAATGGGGAAAGGATTCCCTATTTAATAAATTGTGTTGGGAAAAGTGGCTAGCCAGATGCAAAGAACTGAAACTGGACCCTTTCCCTACACCTTATACAAAAATCAGCTCAAGATGGATTAAGGATTTAAACGTAAGAACTAAAACCATAAAAACCCTACAAGAAAACCTAGGTAATACCATTCAGGACATAGGCATAGGTAAAGACTTCATGACTAAAACAACAAAAGCAATGGCAACAAAAGCCAAAATTGACATATGAGATATAATTAAAGAGCTTCTGCACTGCAAAAGAAACTATCAGAGTGAACAGGCAATCTACAGAAAGGGAGAAAATTTCTGCAATCTATCCATCTGACAAAGGGCTAATATCCACAATCTACAAGCAACTTAAACAAATTTACAAGAAAAAAAGCAAATAACCCCATTAAAAAGTAGGTGAAGGATGTGGGCGAAGGATATGCCAACAGACACTTTTAAAAGAAGACATTTATGCAGCCACCAAAATATGAAAAAAAGCTCATCATCACTGGTCATTACAGAAATGCAAATCAAAACCACAATGAGATACTACCTCATGCCAGTTAGAATGGCAATCATTAAAAAGTCAGGAAACAACAGATGCTGGAGAGGATGTGGAGAAATACGAACGCTTTACACTGTTGGTGGGAGCATAAGTTAGTTCAGCCATTGTGGAAGACAGTGCAGTGATTCCTCAAGGATCTAGAACTAGAAATACCATTTGACCCAGCAATCCCATTACTGGGTATATACCCAAAGGATTATAAATCATTCTACTATAAAGACACATGCACACATATGTTTACTGCAGCACTGCTCACGATAGTAAAGACTTGGAACCAACCCAAATGCCCATCAATGTTAAACTGGATAAAGACAATGTGGCACATACACACCATGGAATACTATGCAGCCATAAAAAAGAATGAGTTCATGTCCTTTGCAGGGACGTGGATGAAGCTGGAAACCATCATTCCCAGCAAACTAATACAGGAACAGAAAACCAAACACCACATGTTCTCACTCATAAGTGGGAGTTGAATAATGAGAACATATGGGCACAGGGAGAGGAACATCACACACCAGGGCCTGTGTGGGGGTGGGGGGCCAGGGGAGGGATAGCATTAGGAGAAATACCTAATGTAGATGATGCAGCTATTAGAACAGCAGTTATTATCTTATTTCAAGATATTCTGCTGTCACTCTTCTGGTAAATATATTTATTTTGGTAAGATAAAATGGTCAGTGAAAAAAGACAATTACAAAAGACAGTGAATGGTACAACTGCATAGAGTGATTAAAAGAATTTGAATAGCTATGTGTATAAATGTATACCCAAAAAAATCTCTGAAAGATATATACCTACAACTAAATTCTGGGAAGGACACACTAAGATGACAAAAGGGATTTTTCACTTCTTTATACATTTCTGTGTTGTTTGGATTTTCTAAAGTAAACATGCATTATTACCTCTATAAGCAACAAAAACAATAAAAACATTCCATTGAGGGAGAAAACAGCTTTCTATAATATGGACAATTACCTCCAATCATTCTGTTTGGATTACTTATCATTGTTGTTTTCAAAAATGTATGATGATTTTTTTTAAGAGAAAACAAACATATACTCCTCTCTTCTTCCATTCCTGTGTATTCCACATCCCAGCTGCCTTTCAAAGAGAAATAATAACTATTGTCTTTACATACCTGGTGGAGGAAACATCATTCTACGGTCCTGTTCCCATGGAGGTGACAGAGACCCAGTGTCAGAGGGGGCCCTATGAGGATCGGTTAGCCTATCACAGCTTGATTCTCCTCTTTCATTGGTAATCTGATGGTCCAGAGGATTCCCTGGGCCTCTTGAGCCTAATTAAAGAAAAAAACATACAAATCTGTTTCATCTTAAAAAGTCTTATATGCTTGTTTTACACATAAAATCAGTGGTTAAATCATAAGTTATAAATACGAAGTCTGAAAAATAAGGGTATAGAAAGTAAATTGCTATGATTCCTATGCCAGATGTAACAGGATAATTATAAAGTAATTATAAGAAATTATTAAATAAAAAATATAAAATAAATAAAATATAAAATATTTAAAATAAATATAAAAATAAATGATTAAATAAAAATATAAATGATTTTGTTGCTTAAACTAGTATGTCATAGTCCAAATGAGCATGATTCCTTTAAAACAGTCATCTTAGCAGTTCTATATCTATTTTAGTAATTTTGCTACTATTTAAAGTATTTTTCAGAAAAACTCTTTTGGAAATGCACTCAGATTAACTTAAGAGCCATGTAAAAAACTGCATCTCAAAGTTAAAACATGACTCTCTACTTCTGCCCAAAAATGATTTTAAGTAGCCTGATTTAAACCATTACGTACAATAGATAAATTGGCACTAAATGGCTTTTAGTAATTTCTAAATATCAAATTCACATTCAAAAGGAGAATTCATAAGTTCTGAAGACAAGTCTAAAATAATAGTTTCAAAAACAACAGCACTGTTGAAATAATCACTTTAAATGAGCTAACATCCATTTTGGATAAGAAAATCTGGTATGTTTACATTTATAAAGGGTGGTAATTTTAAAGTTCCCTTCTTAATGACTACAGAAAAGATAGTACCTTAATTAAAAACCCACATTCAGGGCGGGGTGCAGTGGCTCACACCTGTAATCCCAGCACTTTGGGAGGCCAAGAGGGGGGATCACATGAGATCAGAAATTCGAGCCCAGCCTGGCCAACGTGGTGAAATCCTGTCTCTACTAAAAGTACAAAAATTAGCCGGGCATGGTGGCAGGTGCTGTAATCCCAGCTATGAGGGAGGCTGAGGCAGGAGAATGGCTTGAACTCAGGAGAAGGAGGTTGCAGTGAGCCAAGATCGTGCTACTGCACTCCAGCCTGGGTGACAGAGTGAGAACCCATCTCAAAAAAACAAAAAACAAAACCCATATTCAGTTAAAATGGAAAAGACAAATAAAAAATTTTGGCCGGGGGTGGTGGTTCATGCCTGTAATCCCAGCACTTTGGGAGATGGAGGCGGGCGGATCACAAGGTCAGGAGATTGAGATCATCCTAGCTAACATGGTGAAACCCCATCTCTACAAAAAATACAAAAAATTAGCTGGGCATGGTGGCGGGCACCTGTAATCCCAGTTACTTGGGAGGCTGAGGCAGGAGAATGGCGTGAACCCGGGAGGCAGAGCTTGCAGTTAGCCAAGATCGCGCCACTGTACTCCAGTCTGGACGACAGAGCGAGACTCCGTCTCAAAAAATTAAAAAAAAAAAAAAAATTAACATTCAATAATATATATTAATACCTCATTTATGTGTCATTGAGGGGGAAACGGGGGGGTCTTCTCAAAATTATATTGCCCAGGAAACAAAAGCTTATTATTCTCAAGGAATAGCTTAAAAAAAATTTTTTTTTGAGACAGGGTCTCACTCTGTTGCCTAGACTGGAGTGCAGTGGTGCGATTCTCAGCTCACTGCAACCTCCGCCTACTGAGCTCAAGCAATTCTCCCACCTTAGCCTTACAAGTAGCTGGGACAACAGGCATGCGCCACCACACTTTGCTAATTGTTGTATTTTTTGCGGATACAGGGTTTTGCCGTGTTGCCCAGGCTGGTCTCGAACTCCTGGGCTCAAACAATCCCATCACCTTGACCTCCCAAAGTACTAGGATTATAGGTGTAAGCCACTGCACCCAGCGGACAATTTTTTTCAATAGAAGCCTAACTAAAATAGCCAGGTGCAACGGCTCATGCCTGTAATCCTAGCACACTGGGAGGCTGAAGTGGGTGGATCACCTGAGGTGAGGAGTTCGAAACCAGCCTGGCCAACATGGTGAAACCCCATCTCTACTGAAAATACAAAAATTAGCTGGGTATAGTGGCACATGCTTGTAATCCCAGTTATTCACGAAGCTGAGGAACAAGAATCACTTGAACCTGAGAGAAAGGGGTTGCAGTGAACCGAGATCGTGCCACTGTACTCCAGCCTGGGCAACACAGTGAGACTCTATCTCAAGAAAATAAAAAATAAAAAAAGAAGTCTAACAAAAATGCGTACTCTATTTCAGTACCTCCTTTAAGAGAACAAACCAAAATTAATTTTAACTTTTCTTGGTAACTAGTACAAATCAGCATAAGCATTCAAGTTTAATATATAGTAATCTTTAAAACAAATTTTCCATCTACTCCCTTTAGTAGAATCAGATCAACTGGCTTTTACATCAGGAGGTAAACTATCATTTTGCCTTATGAGTATACGTTCTATCAAATTCCCCAAATCTTTCCTTCTCGCTTCTTCATCCTAATAATTAGCTCATTAGAAGAAGAAGGCTGGGAAAGCAGAAAATGCGCAAGCTGTCAGTTAGGCTGAGTTCATCTGGAATGAAGCACAGAGATTTAAAGGAGACATTCAAAGGCTTTCCCTCCTGATTGCTTACTTCCAGAAGACCAAAGTTACAGACCAACTGATTACCCAGTGAAAATTACAAACCTAAAAATGCCAATGGTTAAAGTTTTCTATTCAAACCAAGCTACACACAATTTACTATAAGAAGAAATTGTTTTACTCGTACTCAATATTATTCAAATATACCACTCATCCAAACTTCAAATTAAAAAGATAATAAAAGTAAGGAAAACAACAGGTACTCTCCATCCTCCTTTGGTGGATCATAGAAAGTTTTAGTTCAAATCAACTCTGTAAGACCCGATGACAACTTACCTAGAACTTCTGTAGCTTTTTAAACAAATAGTAAAACACCCTTGCAGATAATCTAAACACACTGTATGTTTAAATTAAATAGGAGAGGAAAGAGGAGAAATCAAATGTAAATTTTAATCATTCCATATATTCAACTGACTACAAGCAATCCTTGACTTATGTAATTCAATTTCCAGTGATTCATATTTGCAGTTTAGCCAATTATACCCTTATTTCTAGGGCACTGTTTTTTCAGACTGCTAGCTCTTACTCATTTGTGATGTGTGAAGTTTAAAAAATAATGCTAATTAAGATTAAATTAATGAAATGGGATAAAACTGAATAGAAAGCATCAAAACTGTAATGGTAAGTACTATTTCATGTAGCTGGTTTCAATTACATTTCGATCATATTTATGTTGGTGTACAATATGACATGATATAAAATACATTTCTTAATGTAAGTCAAGGTAAAAAATGGAGAGGTGGGAGTGGACTTAGATAACTAAGTCCTAAGCTTGCAGCAGACATGTCAATCTCAAAATCAGTCCCTTTCCTGAAGTGCTCAATGCAAAGCCTCCCTAAGGCGCTAAGTATCAGTCTATAGGGCAGTCCCTTTCCCTAGGAGCTTCCAGTTCAAAATCAACACAAGCAAAGGCTCTGTAGGGACCCCAGGCTGTGGCCCAATCTACTGGGGGGACTGGGAGGTGGACAGGAACAGTTCTAAGTGAAGCACAATGAGGGTGGAGAAAGAGGATACAAACAGGATACGGGCAAAGGGAGAATATCTCATGAACATAGAGTAGAAAGTTGATTTTCTCATATTCTTTGAAGGCAATTCCAAAGGAAGAGTTCCAAAAATATTTGGAATAATGGCAGCTTCAACTAACAAGTACACAGACTTCCTGAGATACTCTTTAGATGACCAATATCCATCTGAGTATACGAATTTTGATTTGTTATATTTAATTTGGTGTTTTTGTTTAGATTCATTAATTTATGTTCTTATCTCAAATTCAATCTGGTAAAATCACTGATACAAAGGGTGGGAATGTTTCACTGGCGAAGAATGCCATTAACTCTTATAAAACACATACTTGGAACTGAAAATGTAAGACTTCTGATTTTGAAATAAATAGGGCTCTATATCTTTGAATTTCGACACAAATTAAGGGAAAACTTTAAAGCAACTTGATCAAGAAAGTATGGTGAGAGATCAAAAAAGGAAAACTCCAGGTACACAGGAGTTTTCAAAGGTAATAGGGCCTTTTGTAACACCAGGGTGATGCTGATGAGATAAATGTAGAATAGCTAATGATTAGGCCTGAGGTACCTACAGAAATTCTCAACAACATGCAAGTGGGTGACAGCAGACCATTGTGGTTTGGTTTCCCAATTTTTTTTTTTTTTTCTTTTTTTGAGATGGAGTCTCGCTTTGTTGCCAGGCTGTAGTGCAGTGGTACTATCTTGACTCACTACAACCTCTGCCTTCTCGGTTCAAGCAATTCTCCTGCTTCAGCCTCGTGAGTAGCTGGGACTATAGGCGCCCACCACCACACCCAGCTTATTTCTGTATTTTTAGTAGAGACAGGGTTTCACCATGTTGGCCAGGATGGTCTTGATCTCTTGACCTCATGATCTGTCCCCTTCGGCTCCCAAAATACTGGGATTACAGGCATGAGCCACCATGCCCGGCCCCCAGTGTATTAACAAATGATGTAGACCACAGTAAAGGTTCCCAACAAAATTCTAATGTTTCATCAAAACACAATTTTATGGTGATTCACACCTGTAATCCCAGCACTTTGGGAGGCTGAGGCGGGTGGATCACCTAAGGTCAGGAGTTCGAGACCAGCCTGGCCAGCCAACATGGCAAAACCCGTTTCTACTAAAAATACAAAAAAAATTAGCCAGGAATGGTGGCATGTGTCTGTAATCCCAGCTACTTGGGAGGCTGAGGCAGAAGAATTGTTTGAACCTGGGAGGCGGAGGCTGCAGTGAGCCGAGATCGTGCCACTGCACTCCAGCCTGAGCAACAAGAGCGAAAACTGTCTCAAAAAAAAAAAAAAATTACATATATATACATACACATATATAATTTTATGCTAGGTTATACTGTTATTTTATTTCATGTGGTCTTATAAAATTTTATATTACATCATGTAATATATAGTTTTTAAGAAGTCAAAAATATGGTTTAAAAAGATACATATCAAGTCCTTGATCAAAATGTTATCTAATATAGCACTGTTTCTAAGAGAAAAATACATCAAAATTAGATATCATAGAGATCCTTTTCCAAATAAAAGTTATTTACAATAAGTGCAAGGAATGCCTGTATTTTCCAAATGTTTATTTTACAGATCATTTTTAAAGTAAGTTGAAATGAAAATATAAAGTAAGGAAGAAATCTAGAGTAATAAAGATGTTTAAACAATATACCTCTTCCTCCTCCCCCTGGAAGCAAAGGTGAGAGTCTGAGTGGACCCTCCAACAAAGTTGGAGGAGAGAGAAAAGCTCTCGTTTCAGATGAAGGCCGACCCAATGGTGAGGGACCATATGGGGAATGCTCTGGAATAATTAAAACAGCATATTTAAATTCATAGTTTCACTTAGCTACACTACAGAGTTAGAATCCCATTTCAACAATTACCATCAGGTCATCCTATTGCCAATTTAAGTTTAATCTATGTCCTGAATGTATCCTTTGATTTTGCTAATATAGCACAGAATTAAATACAGACCCTGGTGTTTTCAATATTTGTCTACCAGACACTTTAACCAATAAAAACATCAACTCATTGGGAATTAATACACTTAAATAATCATTTATATTAAGAAGGAATATTGGAGATACATTTTAGAGTTACAGGAGCATAAAGTTAGATCTTTTGGGGGTTGTTTTTACTGGCAGTATGCATCCGGACATTTCAGCTAGTGAGACTTGCAACACAGAAGTACTCAGTTTAAATCAGGGCCAGGTAGGCTGTATTGGGTCACAAATTGTTTAAATAATGCTCAGATTATGAAGAGGAGAAAAATGCATAAAATACTTTGAAACAAGATTACAATTTACTTTTGATTCATTACCAGTAAGTCAGTTTACAAATACCAATTATCAAATAAATTACTTTATCTATAATCTATACAGCCAAGACACCTACCACTTTACAAACTTCACCACTCTCAAATAATGGTTTTGTTTCCAAAGTCAAAAATCAAAAACAAAATACAAACAAAAATCACCAAAATAACATTTTTAAAACATGTTAAATGTAAAACATGAGTGTAGCTGGTATCATATTCAAACCAGCTACAAGAAAAGATCAAAGCATTATTTACCCTCCTTGAAACTTTTGTGTTGGATTCAGACAAAAAAAAAAAAATCCTTCTGTGTACTTTACCCCAATCCAAACTTTACTACCTGAAATTCGTAATAATCTAATATTTTTTAAATGTAGAAATAGACTTTTATTTTAATGAAATTTTACTCTCGAAAGTGATTTTTATAACTTTCCAAGGTTATTAAAATGGAATTCTACCTATATATATATATTTATTTTTCACTACCTTAGAAGCTTCATTCCAATTCAACCAAAATTATTATGAAAAAATTTAAACTGTTTGCGATAGTTTGAGATCATTGCAGACCCTAACTCAACAATGGACAGAAATATTAAATATATCTTACAAAAAAAATTGGTCCTCCCTTGAAGGTAATTAAAGCAATCAAAACTCAGATTGAGTTTTTCCCACATTTTAAATTAATACTTTTAAATAATTAAAAACTATTTTTTAATTATCAAACAAGCAAATTCCAAGTATAGTTAATATATAAACAGTCACAATGCTATTCCAACTAAGCACTCCTTATTCATTCAATCTCCTAGAAAATTGTTAATGAGTACCTTACTATGTGCCAAGCACCTGGCTTTTCAAGCTCAAGGCACTAAATATATATCATCTCACAAAATCCCACTGAGAAATAAAAGCAGCAATAATTTTCATTATTGCACAGGAAACAAAACCTAGAAACTTGTGAGTCTATGAGAAAGCTCAGACTAGAACCTTGGTTCTAAAACCTAAAATATTTATATAAATAACAGTGTTAACTTACACTAATAGAAACTATATGTGCAATATATATATATATATAAAAAAATATGTATTTTAAATGAGGGGTAAAAAAAAAAGACTACCTCTGCCAAATGCTGTATTTGGAACATCAAGTGCATAAGGATCTTTTTCTAAAAGTTCAAATTTAAACTCTGTTTCAGTTAATCTGCAAATAAAGAACAAACATCTCTAAGTTACTCATCCAAGAGAAGCACCACAAGAAAAAAAATGCCTGTACCAAGTACAAACTACTCTTCACTATCTTAATATCTACACAGAACAAACAGATCCTCTAAAATTTATTATTCTGACCAAAACACTTTTATCTCCCACTGCTTATTAACTAGGGTAATCAGTTTCTTGCTGCCCTAGGGATAGTGATGTTTTGTGGAGCCTTACAATTGTTTTATTTCTTCTTCAAAACTAGACTACCATGAGTACCATATCACAGAATCCAAATCTTTGAAATGGAAGAGTCCTCCAAGGTCAACCAGTTCAAGTCTATCACTTTACAACTAAGGAAACTAAGGCTAGGAGTTTAAATGATTTATTCACAATGAAAGTGCCAGGATTAAGACATAGAGTTCCTGGCTTTGAGTCATGTATGCTTTCCATTGTAATGTGACACTCATGATTCCAGTTATAACACTGGAAATTCCAATAATTTGTCCTACTATCTTACTCATAAACGTTTTATCCTACAAATGTGACATTTTAAAAGAATCTTGTTTCTAGTTCTTAATCATGAGATATAAAACATTTAATAATTTGATTTTAATTTCTGAGACTAGAAAAGACAAGCAAGAGGACTAAAAACTAATATTGGATAATGTTAACAGTATATTGTGACAAGAAATTATAACATTCTAGGAAGACTGTTATAATCTTCATAGAAAAGCACTTACTCTTCCCTGCTATTCTATATTGTAGACTTTTATTCTACGTTTCATTTTATTATTGAAAAACAATGTCAGCCAATACTACAAAACCAGGAAATGAGAGAAATTAGTGAATATTATCCTATCTATTTATCCATTAAAAGAGGCTGAAATTCTCGGCATTACGACGTCACAGAGATTCATCCTTTCGCTTTCCATCCATTTTTACCTCCATCCACCTACACTGGTTTAAAAAAAATTTTAGCTATAATAGCAGAAGGATCTGTTAACAGTTTCCTCCAAGTGCCACTTCAGCGACCTGGGACAAGTACTTCAACAAACAAAAAAAAATAGACATTCCTAGTAAAACTAATAGATATCTCACGAAATATGCTGGATTCACTGTAAGTTTTCTTACTTAACCTTATAAAAGTATTACCTAATTAATGAAATAACAGTAAGAATAATAACTAATTTTAAATGTTCCCACTAACATACTTACTTTTGTCTGTTGTGAGCATTTTCTTTCCTTAAATCATTGAGGTTTCTTTCAGCATTCCGAGCTGCCAACTTCAAGAAAATAACAAATTTTAAAAATACATTTATATAAACTTAAAACATAAGCATAAACATGTCAATATAAACACTCATTAAATTTTTTAAAAAATATATATATATATCACAACAATGGTATACAAATCATAATCACTTAAGTAAGAAAAAGTGTAAGACTTGGACCCTGAAAGATCAGAATTTCTGTATCTACTCTTTACCCTCTAGTCATATGATCTTAGGCTGTTTCCTCATCTATAAATCTGGATTATAATACCTACTTTACAGAGTTACTGAGTAGATTGAACAAGTAATGTATGTAAAAGGCCTTTAAGTACAGTGCCTAGAACATAAGAGATTTTAATAAACATCCTATCTTTTTATTATTGTAGTTGAGACTCTATTATCCCCCTACCCTCAAATCTCTAAAGTTGACAGTTTGAGCCATGTCCTTGTCCCCATCCATCCTGGGGTCAAACATTCAGAGCCTCATGGACTCTAAACTCAGCCAGTCTGGGTTCTATCCGATTGGGTGATTAGTTCCTTGAAATGAACACTTTTTCCCTAAAAAACAAGTTAAACTCTGTTACCACATGACTTTTCAGAAACTAATATGAGCCTCTCCTTTTAACTGTCTTCTGCCCAGACCCCAGTCTGTTCCTATGGGTAGCTCAGCTCTGGAGCGTGTGACAAGCTACTGTTCGGTGTCACTTTCATTCCCTCTACCAATCCCAATTCAGCCAAAAACACACCTTGTCTGTGGAGCTTCTCCCAGGTGACCTTCCTGATACATAATTCTTTAGCCTGTGTGGTTCCTTGGGTTTTCCTGCCTGTCCTGTGCTCTAGAACACGTGAGGACAGATATATCCTAGGTTGTCATCTGGCTGTCCTGGATCTGTATATCCAGCTGCTTAACTGTCTCTTTGTAGCCTCTACCCATGTCGTCTGAGATAACCTTTACCTTAGGAGACTTTACTAAATATGCAGGGGTGAGGAAGGGATGTGGAATTGTTGCCTCTGGGTCTCAGCATATTCCCTTCTTGGCCATTGTTGTTTGTGGTTTTTATTCTAATCTCTACAAGTCAGTGTCCCTCTAAGATCTGTAAGATGTTCCTGCTGCCCTTCCAGAAACAGCCTTCTTACCAACTTACCCTGGGACTGTGTGTGGACCTCTCCATCTTCAAAGAGTAATCTACATCTAAGTATTTTACAAGTGGTGAGGAGTGGTTAACTAAATTCATCTCCAAGCCCAGCTTAATTTAGTAACAAATTTTCATTTGAACTCACAATACCAAAGCATACAGAATCTTACAACTGAGGAGGACCTAATCTCTCACCCTACCTAATAGGTGAGATACCTCTCAACATACCTAATCTCTCACCCTAGGCGGGAATCTCCACTTCAACATGTCTAAGAAACAACTACCAAGTTTCACTATAACAATAACAGTTAACATTCACTGAATGTATACTGTGTGTCAGGCATTTGGCAATAACCTTACATGAATTTAATCATCCCAATAACCCTATGAAATAGGTACTACTGATATCTCTATCTTACAGATAAGAAAACTGATGATAGGTGATGGAGCCAGGACACCAGCCAAGACAGCCTAATTCCAGACTCCATGTATTCACCCACTGTGCAAACTGCCTACTGTTGAAGACTCCTAATGCCAAGTACTCCAAAGGCCAGCTATTACAACAGTCCTATATGTTAGAGTGTCTTTCTTATAATTAGTCATAATCTGCATCCTTATCACTTCCCCACACAGTCAGTTCCTCTGAAGCACAGATACACTATTTCTCATAATGACCCTTTTCTTAATGTATACCCAGTAATTCAACACTGAGAATCAGGTAACAGAACTTTATGAATTTTAGAACTAGAAGGGGCTTTGAAGATCACTTAATCTAATCCCATTGTTACACAAACGAGGAAATAGGCCCAAAGAATTTTAAGTAGCTTGTCCACAACTAATCAGTGGCAATTTAGTGCCCTGAAACAATCAATCCATGATTATATCACCTTCCCTATGGAGCATAAACTCCTTTCAAAGAAGCAATGTGATAAAAGCAAAGAAGGAAAAATCAAATTTTTTGAATAACTGTGTTGGAACAAACTGTTTAGTTCACAAGGAACATAATTTCACTACTTGTAAAATTAAAAGAAACTGATTTTTTAGAATACTATATTTTCATCTAATTTAAGTAAGCAACATGTCTTCTGAAAAAAAATACAATTTGACAAAAGAGACTTAAGGAAATTTAAAACTTACCCAATTATCATGTGCTTTTTTCTCATGGGAAATAATCTGAAAAAGAAAGTAATTAAAATGCCACTAACAATTATTTTTCTTAAGTAAAAGACATTCATATCTACCACTATGATGTAGCACACAACTCAAAAATATCCCAAGCATCTCTGAAGAGTAGGCAATATTTTCAAAGCAAATTTTCATGTATAATCTATTATATTTTAAAATAAAAACTGAATGTAAAGACAATTACATTTTTTGTCTAGTAAACTTTTACTTTATGCAATAATCAACAGGAATTGCCAGTTAACATATAACTAGCCTGACTGAGTATGAGACCCCACTGTTGATACACGTTTATGTGATGCACTCCACCTTCTCAAAGCAGCAGGAGATATGGCAATTTTATTTTTTTGAGATGGAGTCTCAGTCTGTCACCCAGGCTGGAGTGCAAGTGACGCAATCTCAGCTCACTGCAACCTCTGCCTCCAGGGTTCAAGCGATTCTCCCGCCTCTCCCTCCTAAGTAGCTGAGATTACAAGCATGTGTCAACATACCTGGCTGATTTTTGTTTTTGTTTTGTTTTTTTTTTAGTACAGACAGGGTTTTGCCATGTTAGCCAGGCTGGTCTCGAACTCCTGACCTCAAGTGATCCACCCACTTCAGCTTCCCAAAGTGCTGGGATTACAGGCATGAGCCACTGCACCCAGCCAATATGGCAATTTTAAATAAGATTTCTTATCCCAGAATCTTTGGCTCCTGGGAAGTGTCCCACCGCCACATGCAACACCTCAAAAGAGGTGTGCAACTGGTAATTATATTCCTGCATCAATTCAAACAAATCAGAATTGTTTTCAATTATACATATATATATATACACACACACATATATATACCTGCCCTTGATAAGAATGAATAGTTCTCTCCAATTCTTCTTCAAGATCTTTGGCTCGCTTTCTAAATGGAATGAATAATTATTCTACTATTAACATATAATATGAAATGACAGAACATACTCTCTACTAAAAAATATTTATTAGAAAACCTAGAATGCTCTATTTCATGTAAAAAAAACAAAAAAACAAAAAACTCCAGAATTCCACATTAAGAAATAATCACCTCTGAGAGGTTCTACAGTAAATTTTTTCCTAAAGTGATTTTAACATTGATTATACCATAATACTAGTACTTGAGTTTACCTAAACCAAAAGTCATGCAAATATTTATGTGGTATATTGTGTTGTTTTTATTTTTAAGAAGAATGATCCTAGAAGATTCATTCAGATGTTGGTAGTCATTTTTTTTTTTAAACGGAGTGCTGCTCTTGTTGCCCAGGATGGAGTGCAGTGGCACAATCTCAGCTCACTGCAACCTCTGACTCCAGGGTTCAAGCGATTCTCCTGCCCCAGTCTCCTGAGTAGCTGGGATTACAGGTGCCTGCCACTACGACGGGCTAATTTTTTTGTATTTTTAGTAGAGATGGGGTTTCGCCATGCTGGCCAAACTGGTCTCGAACTCCTGACCTCAGGTGATCCACCCACCTCGGCCTCCCAAAGTGCGGGGATTACAGGCGTAAGCTACCGTGCCCAGCCAGATGTGGATAGTCTTAATAGAATTCTAGGAAATTAGCAATCGTTGTGAAGTAAAATTTTACTTGTTACTTTTATGAGACTAATAAGATAACTTATTTTGGATAAAACTCAAGCTTGCTGAGGCAAAATGAAGTATCACAACTATTCGGGATACTGCTGAATCTTGCCCCTTTTCTTCTCTATATTTTCTATTTCCTGGGATCTCGTAAATCAAACCAAGGTAAAATCTAGATTTATAGTCTTAAATACTTCAGAATGCTCTGTGGCTCACTCTTCTTTTTGTGGCACACCTATTGATTCACTAATATTACATACATTCTTCTCCATTTGAACCAATGAGGAAAGATCTTAAAATTAAAATCTATTCATATTGGCACTAACATGAAATAGAATTGTCCATATTCAACTTTGAGAGATTTTAAAAATCGCACAGCCTGAAAGAAAAACATTTTTCCTTTTTATATTTTCTGTATAATTGCTGAGCAAGAAATCTGAATGAAAAGTGATGAGACAAAAATATATTTTTTTTATCTGTACCACCTGTCAGATTTTAAAATGTTTTCTATTTTCATTTATTATTTTTTCTGGCATTAAGTTTTTTAGATACTCTTCCCATTCCAATAAAGAAACCGGGAAAACGTATTTAATACCTATAGGTCTCCAGCTCTTCAGTGGCATGGCTGATCTTTTCATCTACTTTAGAAAGTTTCTCTTCTTTCTCTAACCGGTAATTTTCCTCCACTGTTAATTTCCTTAAAAACAAAAAATGTTTTAATTCTCTTAATACATGCCATAAGATAATCAATTCTTTTTAATTGTAGCAAAACTGGTGATTCCTATAAAATGATTTCTAAAATACCACTGAAAACATTACCTACAAGGAAAAAAAAAGTACCTGTATAAATATTCCTGGTATGAAATTTAATATTAAAAACCGAAATTGTAAAGCATTGTGCCTAATACATAACTACTAACAGTTTCAAGAGTTTTCTATATAAATTTATCTTAAAAACAGGATCAAAGATATATTTAATAAAAACTATTATGACTATCACTTATCAAGTCTTTCTGTATAAACAAGCATGACATTTGCTAGTAAGAAGTCACCAATTAATCAAATGTGTTTCATTAATTTTTATATTGGTTAGTGTTAGGCTTCCAGGTGAGTACACACACACATACACACACACAAAATTATAATTACAATGAACCCAAAGTAAAGAGTAGTAGTAGCAGTCCTATTTACTACATCTAGTTCTATTAATAATAACTTATTGAGCCATTAGTATGTGCCAAAAACTGTTCTTAGACTTTTGCATGTATTATTACCACAACAGCTCTACAAGAAGGGTGGTACTGTTATTCCCATCTTACAAAAACGAAAATGAAGCACAGAGAAATCATTAAACCAAGGCCTAGAGCTCATAAGCAGTGACTCTTTTATGCTGTAACACCCATGTTGTTTCATTTCACATACTGTCATTAATAACCTTGGTCACCCAAGAAACATTTATTGAATACCACAGGAAAACACATTTGGAGTGCTAAATGGGTAACTTCCCTCCATCATGAATTTTGAGAAGGAACAAGACAAACGACTGAAGAAGTCTTGCGGCATAGCAGTAAATGTTTTGTATTCTACACACTATATTACCTATTGCTTAGAAAGCATTCCCTAAAGTCAATCACATTCAGGGACGTTGTAAAAAAAATAAGTCATCTCCTTAGGAAAAGCACAAAAGTGAGACAGGCATGGATATGGAAGAGAGATGTGCTTTTACAGACCATGTAGACTGAAGATAGCTAGAAATTCTTTGACACCCCTCCTGATAAAAGGTGAGGTCTATATAACTTCCCATTGAATTTGGGTGGGCCTATTAATAATAGAAATTACACTGTGAAAGGAGACCTGATGATATGACTTAAAAATATCATATCTTGGCCAGGCGCAGTGACTCATGCCTATAGTCCCAGCATTCTCAGAAGTTGAGGCAGACAGATCATAAGGTCAGGAGTTTGAGACCAGCCCGGCTAACATGGTGCAATCCTGTCTCCACTAAAAATACAAAAATTAGCCGGGTGCGGTGGCGGGCACCTGTAGTCCCAGCTACTCGGGAGGCTGAGGCAGGAGAATGGCGTGAACCCGGGAGGTGGAGGTTGCAGTGAGCCAAGATCGCGCCACTGCACTCTAGCCTGGGGGTCACAGCGAGACTTCATCCCCAAAAAAAAAAAACAAAAGTAACACATCAAGCTTGTAGGTCCTACCATTTAATTTGTTTCCACTATTAAATTTGGGAAAACGGTATATCAGTCATGAAAAACATCAGGCCAACATCTAGACTGAACTTAAATTATACTATATGCAGCAAAAATACAAATTTAACATTTCACTGGTACTATCAACTCAATATTCTACTCTGAAGAAGTACCAATGGCATAATTCATTGAATTTCAGTAGCAAGTAGTTTAACTTAAATATAAGAAGGAAATTTAAAATATTTTAGGAATTTAAAATAATTTCAAACTAATGAATGAAATCATGTGAACAACACACACAACTAGGATACTACTCAGTTTTCTATCCTTTAAAAATCTAAAGAAAATACCTTTTCTTTGAAATGTTAAACATTACTCATCAAAATTCTATAACCAACCATATACTTTTTTTATTCAAAAGATACACTCAAAAATATTTCTTTCACCTCAATCACTTATATCCAAGTTTTACTTTAATACCTTTCATTCTAACATAAAAAGAAGGGCCCACTCGTAGGTATACTGGCTGAAAAACCATGAGGTTCTACTGTAATTCTTCCATTTTGTCAAGTTTATTCTCTTGCATACCCTGAGCAGTCCCAAATGGCCAAAGGTTCATAACAAATAACAACTTTTTAATTGTGAACTGAATCCAAATCATGACTGAAGTATAGAACTTGGCAGTGAATGAGCCAAGCACTACCCAGCATCCTGATCTCAAAGAAGCATTAGTACTCTCTACCAGTTTCCAAATATATAAAGTAGACTGTCATTATTTGTGCTAGTTATGTTCCACAAAGTCACTATAAATCGTAAATTAGCAAATACTAGATCACTGCTCCCAAGGGTAATACAGGGTTAGCTTCCTGCTATAGCCTCTGGTCACAAATATTTTATCAACCAACCAATATATAACCTTGTTTTTTGTGCGCTTCTGTTTAAAGATACCTTATTTAACATATATTGTTAATTTATTGACATTGAACTCACAGCCAAAAGCACTGTACTTCATGCCTAAACAAAGGTTATCTAACACATGTATTTTCTCTGTAACACACATCACAGCCCTCTTGTGCTTCAAAACACCACATAGCAGTTCAGCACTATGCTTAGGGGGCATTTAAAACAGCTTAATCACCAGCAAAAAGCATAAAAATGTAAAAAATGAGGTACTAAATATACTGTAAAAGGACACTTGTTTGCAGAATGAGAGATGAAACAAGAAAGCAGAGCATTGCCTTGTTTGACCTCAGCTGGGAACATGCACATTGGGCAACTCCAATTTTTCATCATTCGGAATGTGTTCATGAATGGCTGCAAAAGCTCTGCATGTATTGATCTGATTTACAAATAAATTTTAGCAAGTAAGTGAATTCACAAATACAGATTCTATAAATAATGAAGAACAACTGTAATAACTTTCATTAAGAGCCTAAAGGAACCTGAAAGTCTGTTACATCTTATTACCCTTTACAATGAAAGAAATATGTGCTATTTGAAAATCTAGAGTCTTCAGATATCTCAAGGGTCTTCAGTGTACTTAGGCATTTAGGCAACAGCATGCACACACACACTCTCCTTCACTCCAATATATAAAGGCACTGAACATATTTGTACATATATTCAACAAACATGTACTGAACAGCTATCATGTGTCTCACGTGCTTTAGGCACTGGGAACACAGAAGTGAAGAAAATAATTCTCTCTCAGAGTTCATATTTAATGTAGGGAAGATAAAAGAAAGAAAAGCAATCAATCATCAGAGGACAATAAGAGCTATGAGGCAAAATAAGGGGATGAAGAATAGCAGGTATTATTTTAGTTAGAGTAGCCAGGGAAGGATTCTTTGAGGTAACATTTGAACCCAGGCCTAATAAAATGAAGAACTGAGCCATGCAAATATATAGGAAACATCATTCCAAGCAGAAGAAACAAGTGCAAAAGACCCTGAGGTTAATGTGCTAAAAAGCATCAAAAAGGCCAGTGTCGGATGGAGGGTACTAAGAGGAAAATGAACATGAATAAGCTAAAATTGAAGAGGTGGCCAAGGGTCCAATCCTGTACTGTCTTGTAGGCCAAGATATAAAAGCTGCGGGTTGAGTGTGATATAAAGGCACCCGGGGATTTTGAGCACAAGAGTGACCATACTCACAATTCACACTTTAAGGGTTATCCTGCATGCTGCAGAGAAAACAAAGTGCAGGAGAAAGGGTGGAAAGAAGGAGACTACTCATAAGGCTACTGTAATAAGCCAGATGTTAACTACTGATGACTAGACTAATATGGGAGATAGTAAAAAGTGATCAGATTCAGGCTATAAAAAAGCTGACAGGATTTAATGACAGAATAAATAGGAGATATAAAAGCAAGAAAGAAGTCAAAAATGGCTTGAGGAGCCACCCTATATAACTAAGTAAAGGACACTGCCATTTACTAAGACAAGGAACACTTGGGCAGAAGCAACTTGCACAGAACAAAGAAATCCGTTTTACATATATCAGAGATGGAATTAAATGGGCAGTTCGATCAAGAGTGTCCACTCAGAAACCCTGCCAGTATTAGGAAGTTTAAGGAAATAATTTGCTGACTACTTACTAGAAGCTAAAGAGGATTCGTTGGAAATTCCAACATCATTTACAATATTTTCTTTGTTGAAAACAAAAGTGTTTCCAGATTTATTGAAAAGTATTCCAGATCAAATACCTTTCTTAAAAATAAGTTGATGATATACAATCTAATCACAAATTGAGAACTTTCAGTAATCGCTACAGGTAACCATGTAACATGTATCCCTAAAGCTATTTTACTTGCTGTTCAATGGAGTTAACATAATTTTTATTACCTGTGGAGTTTCATTTCATTTTCTTGATATAATTCAGTCATTACTTTTAGTTTCTGTTGAAGCTTCTGATTCTCATTTTCAAAATGTGTGTTTTCTGACTGCAAAGATGCTTGTTCAGTCTGAAGACTTTTAATATGCTCTATATGAAAAGTTTAAGTCATAATCAAAGGAGTAAACATTTTGAGTTGCATACTAACATTTCAGAAACATAAAAATTACTAAAAATAATAAATTATTAATAAACTGAACTCTATCCAATAACAGAAAATCTATAAGGTATTTTGATTACCTGAATGCTTTTATTGTTATTAGTTGATTGACACATAAAAACTGTACATATTTATGTGGTACAGTGTGATATTTCAATACAAGTATTCAATGTATAATAATCCTATCAGGGTAATTAGCATATCCATCACCTCTAACATTTGTCATTTGTTTATGTTATGAACATTCAAAATCCTCTCTTCTAGCTATTTAAAAATAACAATATGACAAAGTAGATCTAAGAAAAAGAAAAATAAATATAAAGTTAACTAGTCACCCTACAGTGCTATAGAACACTAGAAATCGTTCCACCTATCTAGTTATAATTTTGTATCTGCTAACTAACCTCTCCCTAATTCGCTACCCTCTATATTTCCCAATCTCATATTACTATTACTATTCCACTCTCTACTTGTATAAGATCAACATTTTTAGCTCCCATATATGAGTGAGAACATGTGCCATTTCTCTTTCTGGTGTGGCTTATTTCACTTAAAATAGGCTCACTCATATTGCCACAAAACAGGATCCCATTATTTTTTGATGACTGAATAGTGTTCCACTGAGTGTATTAATATTTTAATTAAGGAGCTATATAAATTGTTTTAATTTTGACCGGGCACAGTGGCTCATGCCTGTAAATCTCAGCACTTTGGAAGGCCGAAGTGGGTGGCTCACTTGAGGCCAGGAGTTCAGTATCAGCCTGGCCAACATGGCAAAACCCTGTCTCTACTTAAAATACAAAAATTAGTCAGGTGTTGTGGGGCACGCCTGTAATTCCAGCTACTTGGGAGGCTGAGGAAGGAGAACTGCTTGCACCTGGGAGGCAGAGCTTACAGTGAGCCAAGATCACACCAATGCACTCCAGCCTGGGTGAAAAAGCGAGACCCTGTCTCCAAAAAAAAAAAAAAAAAAAAAAACTTCTAATTTTTATTATTATTTATAGGATTCCCAAAACCTTAAACATTCTAATTCTAGCATCTAATTTTCAATTTTGGAGCTAAATGCCACTAACTTTCTCAGGAAGGTCTTGGAGATAAGAGTTTTAAAGGAAGATATTGTAGTTCAACATTCCCTGTAAAACTATTTCCAGGTGATGAATAATGCCTGTTTTTATCTAGTAAAAACTTTATCTCTCAATAAATACTTAAATTCTACCTAGCCCTTCCTTTTAAGCTAAAATTTTGACATATAAGTCAAGCCAGAATTCTGGATCTTCTCATAACAAACGCTCAAACATACTCCTAGTTTAAAGCAGATCAAGACCAGAGAGAAAAATACCAACTTTAAGCTTTGTTTCAACTGCTAAACCATCTTTAAAAAAGTCTATAAAATAAAAATGAATAATTCTAAATAATTATGAATGCTTTATAATTTACACCAATTTTTTTAAAAAAAACCTCCTTTCTCTTCTAAAATAATTACCTCAACTCTGAGCTCCTCCAAAATTGAAGTACCAACTCTGAACATCTCTAATATTAAGGTACCAAGATAATAACCTCAACTCCTCTAAGATGAAGGAAGGTATCATCTCCCATAACATGTATATGAATCACCACCACAAATCTTAACAGACAAAACTCAATCTGCCTAAAGAGGAAAGTTTTGGAAATCGTATTAACAAGCATGAAAATTTTAGTAATTACATGTAATGGTATTTAATTATTCTAAAACCCTCATGACATGGTTTGGCTTTGTGTCCCCATCCAAATTTCATGTTGAATTGTAATTCCCAATGTTAGAGGTGGGGCCTGACGGGAGGTGATTGGACCAAGGGGGTGGTTTCTAATGGTTTATCACCATCCTCCTAGTGCTGTCTCCCGTTAGGTGATAGAGTTCTCAAGAGATCTGGTTATTTTAAAGTGTGTAACACCTCCCCCTTCACTCTCTTCCTCCTGCTCCCACCATGTAAGACGTGCTAGCTTCCCCTTCGCCTTCCACCATGACTGTAAATTTCCTGACGCCTCCCCAGAAGCAGAAGCCTGTCAGCCTGCAAAACCATGAGCCAATTAAACCTCTTTTCCTTACAAATTACTCAGTTTCAGGTAGTTCTTTACAGCAATGTGAGAATGGACTAATATAACCCATTAAACATACAAACCAAAATAACAGTTTACATAAATCTTTAAATATTAAATGATTAAATGTATAGGAAATTGTATGTAACTATCTTTCCACAGAAATTTTTTAATCTACATCAGAAAAAAAAATTCATTGACCTAGGCTTTAAGCCATTGCCAAGAACAATCACATAAAGAAATTAACGTTGGGTATTATCTCTATTAAAATTCAATCATCCCTACTGTAAAACAAATAAGCAAACTACAACCCAATACTTAATTAATGTATTTATGTACTCCTTTTTTCTTTTTGAGACAGAGTCCCCCTCAGTCACCTAGGCTGGAGTGCAGTGGTGCGATCTTGGCTCACCCCAGGTTCAAGAGATTCTCATGCTTCAGCCTCCCAAGCAGCTGGGACTACAGGCATGTGCCACCACGCCCGACTAACTTTTGTATTTTAAGTAGAGACAGCGTTTCACCATGTTGGCCAAGCTGGTCTTGAACTCCCCAGCTCAAGTTATCTGCCCACGTTGGCCTCCCAAAGTGCTGGGATTACAGGCGTGAGCCACCATGCCTGGCCATATTTTTGTACTTCTACTCTAGCTATTTTGTTTTGAATTGTGACTTAAAGACCACTGTAAATGATTACGAGAAAAGGCAGAAACAGTTTAGAGGAAAATCTTCACGCTATGAATAAAAGATCAATTACAGAAATTTATCTTTCATGATCCATTAAAAAAAGTTAGATTTGGAAGAAGAGTACAGGCAGACATAGAGTCTCCAAATATTAATCTAAGAAAAAAAACAAAGATTTGTCAGGAAACTGTATTAAGGAGTGGGACAGCTGGTGAGCAAATTTCCTTGCTACTCTGGCACTTTGTACACACGTTTTTTCAAATACCACTTCCTTGAAAGTAAGCTATCTTTTCCTTCTGTGAATCTCCCATGGCTTTTAGTACAATGCTTTACATATAGCAACATTCTCTTAAACTAATACTAATGTTTCTCTAAATCCAAAAATAATCCAATTACTAAAATCATGTGAGTAGGGATATAATTGTTTAATAACCTCTATCTTTGGTGGTTCAATCTTTTAAAATAGTATTATAAATGTAGTTCACATACTGTAGAAGTTTTTGAAAATACAGGTAAGTAAAAAGAATATAAAAATCTGTCCATAATCCCATATTCAGAGATAATCATTGTTGACATTTGAGTACGTCCTTCCAAATGTATATAGTAAATCTTTTTACTTATTCTTTTTTATTTTTATAAAATGAGATGCTATTTATGCCAACTTTAAAATTTTTCAAACATATTGACGGAACTTGTTTACTTTTTGAAAATACAAACACTATCAGCAAAATAAACATAAATGTTTTCAATTAAAACAAAACCTTTGTTTCTACAGGTCTAACATCACTCTTGTATGTGCTAATATACTATGTATGTACATTAAAGGAACAAATCATACTGCAAGTAGTACCACTACTGAAGATCAATTTTTCAATTAACAGAGATTTTAAACATTAAGTTTCAATTTGCTACTTTTTAACATCTAAAACATAACAAACACATAGCACTGTAATTCAAAGATAAATACAGTTTTACATGTGTTTTTAAAAATTTCATTATTTTAACTTCACATAAATACAGAGGAAATCAATATACCTTTAGCAACAATGACAACAAAAACCAGGACTGTTTCACAAATACCTAACAAGAACAAAAGTTAAAATATATATATAATTGGATCTTCCCAAAATTAATTCAATTAATGTTTACCATTCTCTGAAAGGAGGTGTACTTACTTAGAAAAACATCAAAAGTGTGTATATAGATGACCTACCTGTGAGCTCTTCCTTTGTTTTATCAACTTCAGATAACTGAATATAAATTTGGTTTCTTTCTCCTTCTAAGGTTTTTAAAGAAGCATTTAACTTTAAAGAAGGGAAGAAGGAGAAAAGTAACATTAATTAGTTATACAACAACAACAAAAATAACATAAAACCTCACTATAACAACCCCAACACTTTTTAAGCTCTTTTATCATTTTGATGAAATTATCACCTGGAATACAGAAACCAATAATGCAACTTCCATCTTAAAAAAACCAGCAAAGTGATCAATACTTGTAAATCTCAGAACAAGGGATAGAGAAAAGTAGTGAATGCTTTTCACTGGATGCTTAAGAAAGTGACTATTTTCATTCTATTTACTTTCAACAAAAGTTTTTATTAAAGCAGCCTTCAAACTACATTACCAAGACTTCACATAGATCAGCAAAAATGAGAATACCACTACTAGGGTGGAAAAGAGAAGGAATAAACCAGAAAAAAAGGAATCTAGTATTTACTTAAAATAGGATATAGGGCAGAAGGGGTAAGAAAATACTGAGACTAGAAGAAAAAGAATGCACTGAAGGAAGTATGAGATAAAATACAAGAAACATTTTAAATATATTCTTATCTGAAAAAATGAATACAGAACTTGGAATTTTTTATTTTGATAAATTCCAAAAATTATATGAACTTCTAAAGTTAATAACTGAAAGTAAAAAGTAATTGACGATGAAAATTCTGGTAATTTCTTAAATATTTTTATATGGGAACAATAAAATGGATTTTTTAAACAGTTACTATAAAGGAGACAGGAGTAATCCATGTTCTCTTTCTTCCTCCTTATTTTTATATGTATCTAACAGCACAAACCTTAGCAGCATGAATCAGTTTCTTCAAAGCTCCTTTTGGAGGATTATCTACAGTGAAAATCAAAAGCACAACAATGATTTGGGAAAATAGTACAATATGACAATAGACATCAAAATGAGTTTATCAGTTCACTCAACCAGAAACTTATAATCCCTCTTCTTGCTACAATAAAGCATTTGGTATAAAGCAGAATGGCCTTGGACCTGCTTCCAGGAAGCTAAACAATAAAAGCACTGAAGTGCCATATCATTTAACAATGTTCTTCAGCTCTAACTCGAAGAACAGACTTATAACAAGGATTCGATATTCATCTAAATACAGACCACAATCGTTAACTATTCTTGGATTCTTACAGCATCCAAAATATGAGTAAAATTATAACCCAAGTTAAAACAACATTAAACAAGCATGAGTTTTCTCAAATAGAGAAATAATTATTTCATATATGATCAAGTAGAAATGAAAAAGTATAAACAGAACTTTATATACTTATTTTAGGGATGTAATTTTTTCCAACATATTAATGTTATCATGAAAAACCTTTTAATCGCACTTTTTTCTCCTTAATAAATTTGTTAATTATGCAGGGGGTTGAGGAAGAGAACAGAAAAATAACATAAAAGTCTGAAGAACTACTACTGGTGTAAAATGAGAGAGGGGTACATGGGGCCTCTGTACTAGTTTTAGACCTCCCTATGATGCCATATTTCAAAATAAAAAGGTTTTTTCCAGGTCAAAGGAATTGGTGTGAGAATACAGTAAGTGGCTATAGTGAAACTAACTTTTGCCACTTTCACCAACTTCAAAGCACAACCAGCAATGGCAATAACAATTTGAATGGCTAAGATTAAAAGTACTGTAACCATCTGAACCTCTGACGAAAGCAAAACAAGTATCCTGAAGTATTCATTTATAGAACACTCATTTCTCAAACTAGTCATTCATCCATTTGATTAGCTTACAGTACAGGGAAAAACAGGTATTGAAATGATTATGATGTAATTTTGAAAGTGGCTATAATAAAGATATGTATAATACACAAAGAAAACAAAGCGGGGAGGCTGTAAGTGTGTCTGAGCAGCTGGAAAAAGACTTACTGAAAAGGCAATGCTCCAGCTGAAGCTAAACTACAAGGGATGGTGAGAAAGGACAGTATGTTGCAGACAGACAGAATGTGCCAAAGTAAAAGCATATAAAGAACATGGTGCACATAGGGGAAAAAAAGGAAATAGAAGAGCTAGTCACCATTTTAGCAAAAGGAGATGAGTCATGACTTAATACCTAAGTAAGCACCATTTTCTGATTCACTGTTCATTTCTAATTCCAAGTTATCATCATCCGTTATGTCTTCTCCAAGCACAGCAGCCCAATCTTTCATCTTTAGCAAGCGTTCAGTCAGAGTCTTGACATTTAACAAAGGGGAAAAACAGAGAGTAATGCCTTATGCTAAGAGCTTTACAGCTTCTGAATGTCCAGTTATAGTTTAAAAATCAATCCACATAAATAACAACACAAGAGCTCTTATTTTCCACCTCTTAAGATATTGTAAAGTCTTGAGAAATGATAACATTTATTGACTATTAAACTCTGCAAGATAAAAACCAAAACTAGTTATTCCCAAATCAAGTATAGTACATATTAATATCATGTAACTAAAAAGTAGTAAAATATTTTTGTATATGACATTTCTCACATGCCACAAATAACAGTGGCCTAATTAACATAAGAGTAAATTCTGTGTGACACCAAACACATCTACAGTGAGATATATAATGTATAAAAAGATCGTAGATTTTTACTTGATTTATTCAAGGAAACAATTAGCTGAGGAGTTCAACTGAGATAAAGACATTTATAAAATAGAATTTGAATGGAACATTAGAGGTTTTCCAAAAGTACTTTTTGAATTTTGTTGAATAAAGAATATTTTCCAACACTACAGATAATCAAATGACGTGTCACGTATTCCTCTGGAGGAACCCACCTAAAAATAATGCACTGCTCTACAATTTTCACCCTTTGATCTCCTCCCTCTCTTCAGAGTTCCAAGCACAAATAACATGGCCTATACCTTTGAGCAGAGCTTGAGGTTAGCATTTCATTCTTGTTATCTTTAAAAGAATCCCAAATCCTTTAGTAGAGGAAGTTTAGAAAAAATAAACCAGTATGTCACAGCCGGGTGCGGTGGCTCACGCCTGTAATCCCCACACTTTGGGAGGCTGAGATAGGTGGATCATCTGAGGTCAGGAGTTCAAGACTAGCCTGGCCAAAATGGTGAAACCCCGTCTTTACCAAAAATACAAAAAATTAGCCAGGCATATTGGCACATGCCTGTAGTCCCAGTTACTCAGGAGGCTGAGGCAGGAGAATCACTTGAACACAAGAGGCAGAGGTTGCAGTGAGCTGAGATGGTGCCATTGCACTCCAGCCTGGGCGACAAGATTGAAACTCTGTCTCCAAAAAATATATATATACACACACATATATTTTTTTACTTTATATATATATAATTTTTATATATAGGACTTTATAAATACATATAAGTACACATATTTTATATATATTATATATTATTTAATATATATTTTTATATGTAATATATATTATTTACTAAATATATGTGTGTGTGTGCCAAATTCTAAATAAAAGAAAGCTGGAATTTTGAAAATATTCTTAGCAGCAGCATAACTAGCATAAATCCATCACTTTCAATATGACAACATCACTGTGTAAATTATAGAACATTAGTTTTACATAGTATTTGATACACGTGAGTATCTGTATTTACCAGCATTAAGACTTTTTAAATGAGTAGGAAATGAAAAAAGTCAAAAAATCCTAAGTGTAATATCAATTATTTTATTCCTACAATTAGAGTCAAGTTTCAATTAAATTTATTTTTTAAAAGTATTCCTCTCCATGAAAGTACATACACCAGTTAAAGATATTCAATTAATATATATAACTATGTGTCCAATTTCTCAAACTCTTCCAACCTTCTAACAGGAGCAGACAGCATCCTGAAGAGAAACAGTAAAAACCATTATTTTTATTTCTTTATTAAATACCTAGGCTAAAATACAGGGAAGAAAACAGGACACACAGAATATTCATATAAGTATGTATGTGTGTATGTGCATGTACACACTGCAAATATGTAAGTATTCAAGAAACATTTGAAAATCTGGCCAAATACGTTATAAAAATATGTTGTGAAAATAAAAGCTGCTAAAAACTAGTTTTCAAACTTCAGAGTTAGTGTAAAATTCTAGCCAACTTGGTCACTAAAACCAGTAGAGCCATTTACCTTGATGTGATTTTCTTTATCATTTAGAACCTGTTCTGCATGTACTTTGGAGTCTTCAAATGTTATTTTCTGTTTATTAAGTTCACTCACTTGTTCTTTCCATACTTCAGCTTCTTGCAAAAGCTGAAAATGAAAATTTTAAAAATGCAACTCATTACATAAGTGAATCATTAAAAGATACTAAGAAGGCATTGTGTAGCCACTTAAAAAAGAAAGACATGGCTCCTGTTTTCAAAGAACTTTCAAAATGGGGTAGTGTAAAATAACACACACATTCTTCAACTAGTTTATATCATATATTTATATCAAATAAAGGTTTTCTGAGTTATACATATCTTAGATTTGATCATTTCTTACCGTTCCTCATATCCCATATAAAATGTCATGCCTTACTTGCATTAAAATTTATTTTTTAAATCATTGTGCAATTTTGTACTTAAAATAACCAATCTTTAGAAATACCACCAGCCTGGCCAACATGGTGAAACCCCGTCTCTACTAAAATACAAAAATTAGCTGGGCGTGGTGACACATGCCTGTAGTCCCAGCTACTCGGGAAGCTGAGCCAGGAGAATCACTAGAACCCAGGAGGCAGAGGTTGCAGTGAGCTGAGATTGTGCCACCGCACTCCAGCCTGGCAACAGAAAGAGACTCTATCTCAAAGAAAAAATAATAATAATAACATTAATCTAGAACAGACCAGATTCTGCACAAACAGTATTCTACTACATATACTACATATACAGGAAAGTATATTCTACTACATACACTACATATATTCTACGACGTATACTACATATACAGGAAAGGAAAGCCTTTCTGAACATGACAAAAAGTAAAGATCATCATAAAAGGCAGACTTGACTATATAAAGCTTAAAAGCTTCACAAATCAAATATAACACAAATGAAATTTAAAGACAAATAACTAGAAAGGAATTCTTTTTTTTTTTTTTTTAGAGGCAGGGTCTCATTCTCTCATTCAAACTGGACCACAATCTTAACTACTGGGCTCAAGATATTCTCTCACCTCAGCTTCCCAAGCAACTAGACTACAAACACATGTCACCATACCCTGCTAATTTTTTTATTTTTATTTTTTGTAGAATCAGGGTCTTGCTCTGTTGCTCAGACTGATCTTGAACTCCTGGCCTCAAGTGATCCTCCCACCTGGACCTTCCAAATCACTGGGATTACAGGTGTGACCCACTGCACCCCACCAAGAAAGTACTCTCGTAACATTTGTAGCAGAAGGTTAATAACCTTAGCATGCGAAGAGCTCTTAGACCTCAATAAGAAAAACAGGCAAAGAAAAAAAAAGACTGAGCGGGCAATTCACAAAAGAAATGGCTCATATATATGAAAAAGTCTAAATTTATTCAGTCTTTGAAACTATGTTCTACCAAACAGTAATTATTGGATTTCTCTGCAAAACTAAGGCTTCATTAGCATATTTCCTAACACATGAAAAGTAACCCTTTTCTATGTATATATAACAGAATCAGATGATACAGGTAAAAACAAATGAGAATTCAGGAAACAATTCACATTTGGTGATTAGGTCATCTCTCATGAGGCAATAAAGAGACTTGAGTACACAGTATGCAGTATTAAAACATGAGAGAAGGAGTGTATTAGAACATGGCATCAGTGAATACAGTTTGTTTCAAGAACTTTGATTATTACAAGGGAGTTAGATGAAAGCAGCTGTAAAGAGTAAGACTAATCTAGATGAAATATTTTCCAAGGTGGAAACATGGCAAATTTAACACGGGGTTTACCACCACTTTCTACCCAAATCTATTAAAATGGCAGAAAACAGATTTTTTTTTTCAAAGGCATAAACCCACGAGGAAAAAAGAATAGGAGATGAGACAAAAGATAATTGTAGAAATAGAAAATGGAAAGAGATGGAAGTGTGATAAAAAGACTCAACCTACTAGAGAGAACTAAAATCTAAGCCAGAACGTAGGAACACCCAAAAGTAGGCTGATTTGATATACCCCAGAAAGGCTCACGATTTGAAGGCACAAATAGTAGGGAAAATAAGCAGGATTGGAAAAAAGGAGGACTGGCCAAAAGTCTGTATAAAAAGCAGTTGGAAAGCCTCCCATGACATAAATATATACACATTCTTATTCTCTCATTCATTCTCTATCTCTGTCTCTTACACACACACACACACAAACACACACACACACACACAGACACACACAGACACGCAAAACCCTACTGGGTTATTCTTTGGAGAGGTAGAACCTGAGACTCTGGGACATCTATCCAGGTAAAGGTGGAAATAACATACTGAAAACATAAAAGTACTGAGAGGAAACTGACGTACTGAACAGTCAGACATCAGCACTCTTTACCTGACTGAGTTGCAAGACTGTTGGCAAATAGGCTTACATCTCCCAAATGGGAAATGTGGAGGACTCATCCCCGTGCAAACGGTTGTCAGATACCAACAACTGAGAATCCTCCAATTATAAATACCCTAACCTGGCCAGGTGCAGTGGTTCCTGCCTGTAATCCCAGCACTCTGGGAGGCCGAGGCAGGCAGATCACTTGAGGTCAAGAGTTCAAGACCAACCTGGCCAACATGGTGAAACCCCATCTCTACCAAAAACACAAGAATTAGCCAGATGTGGTGGTGCATGCCTGTAATCCCAGCTACTTGGGAGGCTGAGGCAGGAGAATCACTTGAACCCAAAGGGCGAGAGTTACAGTGAGCCGAGATAGCGCCCTGAATCCAACGGTGACAAAGTGAGACTTTCTGTTCAAAAAAAAAAAAAAAAAAAAAAAGAAAAAAAAGAAAAGAAATCTCTAACCAGAATATCTATAGAAAAGCCCGCCAACAGCTGGGTGCAATGGCTCCACGCTTGTAATCCCAGCACTTTGGGAGGCCGAGGCGAATGATCACCTGAGGTCAGGAGTTCAAGACCAGCCTGGCCAACATAGTGAAAACCCATCTCTAGTAAAAATACAAAAAAATTAGCCGGCGTGGTGGCAGACGCTTATAATCCAGGCTTGGAGGCTGAGCAGGGAGAATCACTTGAACCCAGGAGGCGGAAGTTGCAGTGAGCCAAGATCACTCCAGCCTGATCAGCAAGGCGAGATTCCGTCTCAAAAACAAAAAAAGAACAAAAAAAAAAAACAAAGAGAAAACCCCGCAGTGGCCAGGCACGGTGGCTCGCACCTGTAATCCCAGCACTTAGGGAGGCAAGGGCGGGTAGATCATGAGGGTCAGAGATGTGTAATGATCTGTAATTTCAGAGAAGAGGAAACCATAAAAAGATATTAAAAGCTTCCAGGGAGGAAAAAAGCAGATTACCAAATATATCCAATTATCTGAATAGCTTCTGACTTATTAAAAGCAATACTGGAAAGTCAAGACAATGGAGTGACAGTGTCAAAATTTTGAGGAAAAAAAAATATGCCAACCCAGAATATATTCAACCAAAATATCAACAAGTATGAGAAACAAGACATTTCCGGGCATGTAAGTTCTTAAAAAATTACTTCCTTATACCTCTTCCTCAGAAAGTTAACCAAAAGAATTAACTACAAAAGAGCTTAGATATGGGAAATAGAAGATCTAACACAGGAGAAAGACAAGAGGAATCTTTAGGTGGGGGTGAAGTGAAATCTCGGGACACAGAACAGAACACACACCTACAGAATTAGTTCTTATATAAACCAGGAGAGGCGCGAGAAAAAACTGCTTCAAGAAAAGAAAATGAAATTAACATATTAAACAAAGCATTTGAGACATGTATTATGTCCTGTATCTCTAGAAGACAGCGTACAGATGAACCAGGTAAGTATACAAGAAACAAAACATTATATAACTCTAAGGAAAATATTGAATAAGACAGAATATGTAATAAGAACAAACCACAAGGCCAGGTGCAGGTGCTCACGCCTGTAATCCTAGCACTTTTGGAGGCCGAGGCGGGGCGGATCATGAGGTCAAGAGATGGAGACCATCCTGGTCAACATGGTGAAAACCCCGTCTCCACTAAAAATACAAAAATTAGCTGGCATAGAAGCGGGCGCCTGTACACGCGCCTGTAGTCCCAGCTACTCAGGAGGCTGAGGCAGGAGAATTGCTTGACCTAGGGAGGCAGAGGTTGCAATAGAGCCAAGATCACACAACTGCATTCCAGCCTGGCAACAGAGTGAGACTCCGTCTTAAAAATAAAAAAAAAAAAAAAAAAAAACAATAACACAACAAACCATGTGGCTCTGGTGTGAGTAATATTTGGATAATTATAATAACTTAATCACTGAAAAATTTTCCCACTGAAAAGTTACAATTATATTGGCAAAGCAGAAGAAGAAATATACCTGGGAGTATCTATGTATGTGGGCGAGAAACAGGGCAAATGCCACCTCCTCATGTGATCTGCCGCCAGAAGTGCTTCTATCTTTAGGCCCCAGATCTATAACTTCCATAATCCTCACTCGTATTCTCTGTACCCCTTCAGTCTGGTTTTAAGTTGGTTATGATTACCAAAATGCTAAATGCCCTGGCTTACTTTCCCTGTTCTGGGGGTAGAGGCTGCCAAAAGTATACACTTTGGTATACTATACAAAAGAGACAGACACTGAAACACGTAAGGGAGACTTGTCCTACTCTCGTGCTCTCAAGGAAAAGCCTACACTTGTCCCTAGCATGGGTCAGTCATGAGGATGCCAAGAATATTTATAATTACATATTCACAAATTGAAGGGTCCCTACAGAATACAAACCTGTTTCTCACTTTCCTGCAGTTGAGAATTTTCATTCAAAGCATCTTTTATTGCTATCTTCAGTCGTTCTTCATTCATTTGAAATATCCTGAAGGTCATTTTGGCCTAAGTAAAACAAAAAATATCAAGTTTGTAACAATTAATTTAATACACATCTTTACACATACTCCCTAGAACACAGAATTAAACAAAGGCAAAACCATGCCAATATTAACAGCAGAGGCAGCATGGTGTAGCAGAAAAAAGGCTTGTCTAGAATTGCCGTCTAGTCCTGCCTGTTCCACTAACTTGCTACGATGTGACCTTGGACAAACCTCTTGTAACTTTCTATGTACTGTGCAGCAAATTTTGGTAACTATTTGTTCTGTCTCCCCTACTAAAATTTAAACTTCCTGGGGACTTTTTTGTCTATTAATGTTAAGTGTCAAGCAACCAGTCCTCAATATATAGTAATAGCTCAACAAACACTTATCCATTGAAAAGATGAACTTTTCTGAAGTAGTTCATGTAAAAAAGAAAATACAAGCTGGGTGCGTTGGCTCATGCCCGTAATCCCAGCACTTTGGGAGGCCGAGGTGGGCTGATCACACAAGCTCAGGAGTTCAAGACCAGCCTGGCCAACATGGCAAAACCCCGCCTCTACTAAAAATACAAAACTTAGCCAGGTATGGTGGCGCATGCCTGTAATCCCAGCTACTCAGGAGGCTAAGGCAGAAGAATTGCTTGAACCCAGGAGGTGGAAGTTGTAGTGAGCCAAGATCATGCCACTGTACTCCAGCCTGGGCAACAAAGCCATGCTCATTCATTTAGGTATTATTTAAAAAAAAAAAAAAAATACATACCTGGGATCCCCTATATCTCAAATTCTACTATTATATCTTATTTCTTAATTTAAAAAAATTAAATTAAAATGATTTTCAAAAGCAATAGACCTACCAGACTAATTCAACTTACTTCAGCTACTTGTGATTTGAGGGATTTTGACTCATCTTCTAGAGACTGTATCCTTTTAGAAATATCCGCCATCTAGAAAGACAGTATCAGGCAACAAATATTTACTAAACTCTAGTTTCCAAAATGCCATAAATATTAGATATACTATTAACCTAACACTTTTGCTCCATAAGCGACAGCTCAAATTAAGAAACCTTCTCAGTTTATTTAGCCATATGCTTAAAGGGATTTTATATGAACATTACATAACTATAATATCTCATATCAACTTTACTATTTCATAACATTTAAGTTATATAGGCTCAACATAAGTCCACTAACATGTTTTACTAAATAATCTCATATACATCAAGACTTTCGTTAAGATAGGTTTTTTTAAAAGAAAAAGTTATAATTTAATATACATGTTAAGTAATTACAAATATACACTATGTACATGATTATTCAGTTTTTATTTACATGAGCTACTTGCATAGTACATATAGAAATTTTCTATAAAAATATGCAAGAAATTTAACACAATAACATCTAGGGGGAAGTGAAAAGAGTGGCTCTAGAAAATTTTGCCCCCTACAACCTTCTGTATTCTTTACATTTTTTACAAAAATGTAATACTTTAACCACTATCACATTAATTTTTTAAAGCTCAGTAACTTTCTTTTTCTTATATTCTCCTCAAATAAAAAAGCCTTACCAATTCATCTTGTTCAGAATGTTTACATTTCTCTTCTTTTAACTCTTTTTCTAGACAGAATATTTCATCCTCAAGTTCAGACTTGGACCTGTTCAGCTTTTCACAGGTTGCCTAAGAGAGAAAGCGAACTTTATAAAACAGATATAAGAATTTTTCATTAGAGAAAATCAGATGAGCATAATCAAAAATATGTACTGTAAGTTAAATAACTTTCATTTATATATTTGCTCATTTTTATAATATCAAAATAACAGCAACTGTAGCAGTGGTCAGCAAGCTTCTGTAAAGATCCCAGAAATAAATATTTTAGGCTCATAGGCCATGCAGTCTTTGTCGCAATTACTCAACTATGCCATTGTAGTGAGAAACAAAAGCAATACCTAAATGAATGAGCATGGCTGTGTTCCAATACAATTTTTTATTAAAAAAAAGTGGCCCACTAGGCACAGTTTGCCAACCTCTGCTTAAAACCATTATAAAGAAAAAAATGAGAAATAAAGCTAATTTAATATAATTAAAGGCATGACATAAAAAATCAACTAAAAAACCATCAACGCTGCTTCATGATAATATTCCACATTGAATTAAGACCTATTTTCTATGACCTTTTTAATTTAAAATGATTCGTTATTGGATTATTCCAACTGGATTTTAAATAGTATAATAAACATACCTCTGATATTTGTGATCCTTCAACAAACTTGTTAAAGAAAAATAAACCAAAGATTCAAAGATTTTAATGCAGGCCAAAATAAAAGCAGAACAAATACATACTACATTACAGTGATTTAAAAACTTGTTTATACATATTACCCCAAATTTGACTATTTCATTACAGGAATTCCCTGACCTGAATCAAAATTACTCTATTGGTTTGATTTTATCTACAGATTCAGCTATCATATTTTTTTAATTGCATTACATTATAGTTTGAATTCAATTATGATTACTATTATTGAAAATACCATGCTAAAAAATTACTAAAATTGAAGATTTTCCAAAATATTGAATGCAGCTAAAAATTCAGAAAACTTTACTCCTATAATTCATTACCTTGAAAATAAATTGGTGTGTAATATTTTATCCTCAATATTATGAAGCTTGAGTAAATGTCTTTGCTACCTACTTTTTGCTCTCCTGTTAGCATGCCAAATGCCTTCTAAAATTCTTTTATCAAACTAATAAATTACTACTGGGAGAGTAGTTAAGACAGAGAGTCAGCAAATAAAATATAATTTCAATAACTTCTTGAAGACAGTAACAGACAACAAGTGAAGAAAATATCAAGAAACTTATTTAGAATCCAATTTATAACTTCCTTTGGACTCTACTAGAAAATTCTGAATCGTAACACATAAGAGTTTCTGATGATTACGGACAGCAGTGATTGAGAACTGCCACACTGTACTGGACACTTATCAAAGGCACAAGGTCTACTGTTTTCTATTTTAATATTTGCAGATGCAGGGGTCCTCTGCTATGCTTTGTCACTACTCTGCTTTTTACAAGACGTCCATACCTAAACAGTAGTAAGGCATTCCCATCACTTACCCTAATCTGTCTTAGTTTAGCTACATTACAAATTACCATACTTTCCTTCCTTAAAATTAACCAAATCACACTTGGCTCAGGAAAGCCTACTTTAAGCATTATCTTCCCAGACTCCTTATTCAGTGACATCATGTTGGTAGCTTGAAACTGGCCATGGTGGAAGTATTCATACTACAGAACTCAGCAAATGGCTACAAGTAAGGCTGCTTTTTTAAAAAAAAGTTGTTAAACATTTACCAACGGACCATTACATATAACATAAGCCTCTGGCCTAATTCTAGTTAGCTCTTAATATCCTCAAAATAAAAGTAAAGGCAAATACTGTCATAATTTACGTAAGTTCTTGTTGCCAACTATTCCTAAGTTTGTGAAAATGAATCCTATTTCTCCTTTCTAGATCAAATTGAGTCAAAAAAGGAATGATCACCTTAATATGTTTCCCAGGAATGATAGAATGAAGTTTCTATATAGCTCCTGATTCCTTGACCATAAACATGCCTGACTCAAAACAAGTTAGCAATAAAAGCTCAAATTTTTATAATATTTTATGCGACCTACTATTGTCCCATTTCCTATATTAATTTTCTTCTTAAGTTTTAACATCCAGAGATGCTCTTTCACATTTCTTTCAAACAGTTAGTTTTCAGACGACACATTTTTAAAGTTTTTGTTATTTAGTATTTTTTCCCCAGCTTTTAAATTATAGCATTTGAGTTTTTACCTCCAAACTTTGTGCTTCTGTTGCCTCCTTCTCAAAACTGGCATCCTTTAAAGATGACTCTACTTCATAGCCTTCATACTGAAACAAAGTAACAGCACAAGTAAAAACTCTACCAATTTTATTCTAAATCTTGTCTGGATAGATGCCCAAGAAGCAGACAGAATCCATTTCCACATGTACATTAAGTTTACTTGGATTTATTTAGCTTTATTTTTCAAATCTGACCACTATAACAATGCCAGAGCAGCTAACACATCACAGACGGCTAGCTCAGGCAACAAATGTCAGAACTTCACCTGTAAGAGTAAAGTCTGCTTCTCAGAGAACATAGGACTATAACTCATATTAGCATCTTTTACTAAAAATGAGGTTAAAATTCTAATGGTAAGATTGTACTAAAGATTATCCAAAGATTTACTCAAAGAGCGTATTTTTATGTAAGCTGTCTAATCACGGCCACAACAAGTAAACCCTTTCTTTAAGCCTATTCATTAAAGAGAAATTTATAGTAACTGACCATCAAAACTTTTCACTTTTAATTCACACCATACAACAAATAAAGCAACTGGGGAATATAAAAATCTGTAAAAGGTAGGGAACAGCCATCAAAAAATGGAAAGAACAATAAAAGACATAATGCTATAACATTTGGCAAAATGCACTTCAATTATTCCAAAAAAAAGTGATTAAATTGAAGACTAGGTTGTTCTGGATCCACCTTTCTGGCAAGAACAAGAAAAGCTTGATGAAAATACTAAAAAAAACAAAACAAAACAAAAAAGTATCTGTCTGAAAGCCTCAGAAAGCTATCAAAACAGTGAGAATTTGTGAGAGAAGTGGGAATCCCCAGAAAGGCAAGTCTAGTATTTGGCACGTCTATTCCTCCTAGAAGAAGAGGCTGATGGGCTAAGAAACTCAGCAGAGATTTCAGGAGAATCGAAGCTGAGAAAAAAAACTTGGAGTTCAAGACCTGCCAACTCGGATGAACCCTGTCCTTGGCGAAACAATGACCTGTCCAAAGATATTCTACCCCAGAATGTCCAGGTGTGATAAAGGATCTTAAGATGGAAAGAGCTCCAGAATTATTTTGGTGGGCCCAATCTAATGCCAGGGGTCCTTATAAGGAGAAGGCAAGAGGACCAAACTTAGAAAAGAATGATATGATATGAAGATAGAAGCAGAAATTGGGGTGATGTAGTTATGAGCCAAGGAATGTTGGTAGACTCCATATAAGAGACAAAACACAGATTCTATCCTAGAACATTGCATAAAGAAACAGACTTGCTGCTATCTTAATTTCTGCCCCTAACATTGGTTTTAAGGCTGAGTATGGTAGCTCATGTCTGTAATCCCAGCACTTTGGGAGGCCAAGGGGGGAGGGTTACTTGAGGCCAAGAGTTCAAGGCCAGCCTGGGAAACATAGTGAGATCCCATCTCTACAACAAAATAATTTTTAAAAGATTAGTTCTAGACTTCTGACCTTCAAAATTGTAAGAGAATAAATGTGTGTTGTTTTACAGCACTAAGTTTGCAGTAATTTGTTACAGCAGTAAAAGGAAATTAATATCCTTACCAAGCAAAACTGGTACCTTGGATGGGCGCAGTGGCTCATACCTGTAATCCCAGCACTTTGGGAGCCCGGATCACAAGGATCATGAGATCAGGAGTTCAAGACCAGCCTAGCCAACATGGTTCAACTCTGTCTCTACTAAAAAAACAAAAATTTGCTGGGCGTGGTGATGTGTGCTTGTAATCCCAGCTATTCAGGAGGCTGAGGCACAAGAATCACTTGAGTCCAGGAGGCGGAAGTTGCAGTGAGCCAAGATCATGCCACTGCACTCGAGCCTGAGTGACATAGCAAGACTGTCTCAAAAAACAAAGAAGAAAAAAAAAGAAAAAAAACCTGCCTACCTTATAACAAAGTCGAAACCAAAAACAGACTAATCCTCTGAACTGAGGCCCCGCTTCCAAATATCTCCATCTGTTATTAAAGTAATCTGACCTCCCAACAAAGAAAAGTCCAGGAAGAGATGGCTTCATGGCTGAATTTTACCAAATTTTCAAAGTAGAATTATTACCAATACTTCTTAAACTCTTCCAAGAAAAACAACAGGAGGGAATATTTCCTAACACATTTTGAGTCCAGCATCACCGTGATACCTAAGCCAGACCAAGAAACCACAAAAAACAAATAAACAAACAAACCTAGAGGTCAATATCTCTGATAAACACTGATGCAAAAATCCTAAATAAAATATCAGCAAATTGAAATTAACAATACATCAAAAAGATTATGCATTGTGATCAAGTGGGATGTATCCTTGGCATGCAAAGCCAGTTTAATATATGCAAATCAGCCAGGCACAGTGGCTCACGCCTGTAATCTCAGCACTTTGGGAGGCCGAGGCAGGCGGATCACGAGGTCAGGAGTTCCAGACCATCCTGGCCAACATGGTGAAACCCTGTCTCTACTAAAAAATAGAAAAATTAGCCAGGCACCTGTAGTCCTAGCTACTCAGGTGGCTGAGGCCAAAGAATCGCTTGAACTCGGGAGGCGGAGGTTGCAGTGAGCTGAGATCGCGCCATTCCACTCCAGCCTGGGCGACACAGTGACTTCATCTCAAAAAAAATAAAAATAAAAATAAAAAATATATATATATATTAAAAAAAAATCAATGTAATACATCACATTCACAGACTGAAAGACAAAAACCACATGATCATACCAATTGACACAGAAAAAAACATTCAACAAAGTTCAACATCCATTTTTTTTTTTCTTTTGAGAGATAGGTTCTCACTATGTCGCCCAGGTTGGACTTGAATTCCTGGGCTCAAGCCACCCTCCCACCTCAGGCTCCCAAGTAGGTGGGACTATAGGCACACACCCTCACGTCCAGCCCAACATCATTTCTTGATTAAAAAAAAACTCTTAACAGTTTAAGTATAGAAACAAATTCTGGCCAGGTGTGGTGGCCCATACCTGTATCCCACCCACTTTAGGAGTTACGTCAGGAGTCCTGAGACTAGCTGGGCCCATGGCAAACCCAGATCTCTACCAAAATAACACAAATTAAGCCAGGCTTGGTGTCACACAACACTCTCGTACCTAGCTACTCTAGCGAAGGCTCAAGCGTCGGGCGAATCACTTGACCGCCAGGAGGATTGGAATACTGCAGTGAAGCCATAAGCATGCCACTGCACTCAATCCTGGAGCACAAAGGTGAGACCTTGCCTCAAAAAACTAAATCAAATAGTGGACTCATAGCCTGTAATCCCTCATTTGGGAGGCAAGAGCAGGTAGATCACACAGGTTGACGAGATCAAGACCATGACTAGCAAACATGGTGAAACTCCTCTCTACTAAAATCACAAAAAATCAGCCTGGTGTAGCTGGGCGGCACACTTGTAGTCCCAACTCACTGCAGGACGGCTGAGCAGAATTGCTGAACCTAGCAGGCAGAGTTGCAGTGAGGCCTGCCGATCACCCACTGCCGCACTTCCAGTCTGGTGAAAGAGCACGACTCCATCTTCAACAACAATAAACTAAATAGAACACATAACTACAAATTTAAAAATAATCTGAAAAAATAAAAGAACTCGAAAAATAAAAAGAAAATTAAAGTTTCCTCAACATCAACAAAAGGCCATTTATGGGAAAAACTTCAGCAAATATATCACTCAGCTGGTGGAGAAACTGCCACACCTTATTCCCACTAACCGCTCCTGTATAAAGTCAGGAGTGCCCCACAATCAACACTTCTACTTCAAACAGTACCTGGAGGGCTGGTGCGGTGGTCCACCTGCTATCCCAGCACTTTGGGAGGCTGAAACAGTGGATCACTGAGCCCACAGAGTTTTGAGCAACGAGCCTGGCAACTTGGCCAACACCGCATCTCTACACAAAACACACAAGCGTGTGTGGCACACGCCCTGTACGTCCAGCTACTGGGAGGCTCGAGGTGGGAGAAACCCTGACCTGGAGGGCTGACGGCTACAGTGAGCCATGACCAATGCCACTGCATCCAAGCCCTGGCATAGCGTGTGGACTTGTTCTCAAAAAACCAAAACAAAATAGCACTGGAATACTATCAGAAGCAATTAGCAAGAAAATGAATAAAAGGCCTGGTAACGCTGGGCTCATGCCTATAATCCCCCCCACACTCGTTGGGGAAGCCAAGGTGGCAGATCACTTGAGTCAGGAGCTCCAAGACCAGCCTGTCCACACATGGCGTGAAACCCTGTCTTTACCAAAAAAATACAAAAAAAAAAAAACCAAATACCAGGCCATGTGGTGGCACACTGCAATCCCAGCAATTTGGGAGGCTGAAGGTGGGAAGAATCACTTTGACCGCAGGTGGTAGAGGTTGCAGTGAGCTGAGATCACACTGCTGGCACATCCAGCCTGGGCAACAGAGCTGAGACCCTGTCTCAAAAAAAAAAAAAAAAAAAAAAAAAAGGAAAGAGAAGGCAAGAGAAGGGATAAAAGGATATCCGCAATCAGCAAAAGTCAATATACTGTTGCAGATGATATGATCCTATATGTAGAAAACCCAAAAGATGTCATCAAAAATACAGATCTAATAACTGAATTCAGTAAAGATGCAGGATATAATATCAAAACAAAACTATGTCATTTCTATACACAAATAATGGCCTAGCCAAAAAAGAAACCTAGAAAACAATCCTATTTACATAGCATCAAAAAAATAAAATAAAATACTTAGGAACAAATTCAACCAAGGAGGTGAAAGATCTATACACTAAAAAGTATAAAACATTGATGAAAGAAATTGAAGAGCACACGAAGAAATGGAAAGGCAGCCAAAATCTCAATGGCATTCTTCACAGAAATTTTTTTACTCTAAATTTAATATGGAATAGCAAAAGATCCCAAAGAGTCAAAGCAATTCTGAGAAAAACAGAGTTAGCAGCATCAGACTAACTGATTTTAAATTATATTCCAAAGCTGTAGTAATAAAAACAGTGTGGTGCCAGTATAAAAACAAATACACAGACCAGTGGAACAGAATAGAGAGCCCAGAAATAAATCCAAACAGATATGGTCAAATTTTCAAGAGGGCACCAAGAATACACAATGCAGAAAGAATAGTCTCTTCAACAAATGGAAGTGAGAAAACTGGATTTCACATGCAAAAGAATGAAATTGAAGTCTTATTTTATACAATACATAGAAATCAATTCAAAGTGGACAAAAGACGTAAACATAAAACCTGAAACTACAAAACTCCTAAAAGAAAACAGAGGGAAAAAGCTCCCTGACACTGGCCTTGACAATAATTTATTGAATATCACATCAAAAACTTAGGCTACAAAAGTAAAAAATAAGTGAACAGGACTACATCAAACTAAAAAGCTTTTGCACAGCAAAAGAAACAATAAAATGAAAGTTCCTTTGAGGCGAAGCTGCAAGGTAAAAAAAAATAAAAATATACGTAAGTAAACACAATAAAAAGGCAACCTACAGATTGAGAAAAAATATATCAGATAAGGGGTTAATATTCAATATTTTAAAAGCCCTCATACAACTCAAAAGCAAGCAAACATATAACCTGATTAAAAAACAGGCAAAGGACTTATACAGATATTTCTCTGAAGATGACATAAAAATGGCCAACACTATGTGAAATGGTGTTCAACACCACCAATCATCAAGGAAATGCAAATCAAAAACACAATGAGATATTACCGTATATCTGTTAGAATAGCTATTACCAAAAAGACAAGTGAGACGACAAATATTTGTGAAGTTATGGAGAAAAGGGAACCCTCATACAACAAACCTCGAAGTCGCAAGTTTACCTGTGTAACAAATCTGCACTTGTACCCCTGAACTGAAAATAAAAGTTACCAAAAAAAAAGGAGAGAACCTTTTTTCTAGACAAGAAAAGAGAAAGGCATAGAGCAGGTCCTTTGTCCTTTGAATTACATTGTTTTCTTCAATATTGTTTCATTATAACATTGATGAGGGGAAAAAAACTGAGTTCAGTATATACATTGTTTCACTTAAAGTCAATTTTCAAGAAACTATCAAGGACATTGAGGGCTTGCCGTACACTATTGGCAGGGATGTAGATTGGTACAGTCATTATAGAAAATAGTATGGAGACTCCTAAAGAAATTTAAAATAGAGCTACTATATCCAGCAAGCCTTCTTCTAGATATATATCTGAAAAAAATGAAACTGGCACCTTGTACAGATAGCTGCACGCCCATGTTCACTGCAGCATCATTCACAGTAGCCAATATGGAGACAACCTAGGTGTCTATCAATGAACAAATGAATAAAGAAACTGTGGTATATATTTACAATGGAATATTATTCAGCCATAAAAAGGAGATCCTGCCATTTGTTACAACATGGATGGACCTAGAGGGCATTTTGCTAAGTAAAATAAGTCATACATAGAAAGAAAAATATTGCATGATCTCACTTACATGCGGAATTTTTGTAAAGGTCAAATATATAGAGACAGAGAATAAAACAGTGGTTAGCAGTGTTGGGTGGGAGGGAGGAAACAGAGACACATAGGTCAAAATACACAAAGTAGAAAATATGGCCGGGCATGTTGGCTCACGCCTGTAATCCCAACACTTTGGGAGGCTGAGGCGAGAGGATCATTGAGCCCAGGAGTTTGAGACTGTCCTGGGCAACATAGGGAGACCCCATCTCTACAAGAAATTTAAAAATCAGGCAAACATGTATCATGTGCCTGTAGCCGCAGCTACTCAGGAGTCTGAGGTGGGAGGATTACTTGAGCCCAGGAGATAGAGGCTGCAATGAACCAAGATCATGCCACTGCACCCCAGCTTGGGTGACAGAATGAGACCCTGTTTCAACAAAAGAAAAGAAAACATGTGGGATGAACAAGTTAAAAGATATCAACTGAGTTCCATAGTTAATAATAGCGTATTGCATTCAGGATTTTTGTTAAATGAGTACATTACAGCTGCCCTTCGGGGGTGGGTGGGCAGGGAATGGGTAACTATGAGAGATAAAGAATACGTTAATTTCTTTCACTATAGTAACCATTTTATTATATATGTATCTCAACATGTTTATACCTGAAATATATAAAATAAAACTTATTTTACAAAAAAGAAACTCAAAGTTATCTGAAATTTCTATACCTTAAGTATATACAATAAAACTTATTTTACAAAAAAGAAATTCAAATAAATAAAGTTATCTAAAATTTCTAATGTCCCTAGCCTAGCTGCCTATGAAAAGCAATAGTAAATCCTCACTGAAGAGAGATGACAGCACCCACAGCTTCAAAATTATCTCTACAATTTTTATTATATTATCACTGACAGCTGATGTAAAATAACCTGGCATTCAAGAGGACAAGACTAAGAAACAAGAGAAAAAAAATGAGCACCAGAAACAGACTACTGGATAATGCAGTAGACATTAAAACAGGAGAGCACATTTCTCGGCAGGTGTCTGAAAATCAGAAAATAAAAATAACACATAAATAAATAAAATGAGAGCATAGGCCAGGTGTGGTGGCTCACGCCTGTAGGCCAGTACTTTGGGAGGCCAAGGCGGGTGGATTGTCTGAGCTCAGGACTTTGAGACCAGCTTGAGCAACACAGTGAAACCTGTCTCTACTAAAATATAAAAAATTAGCCAGGCATGGCAGCGTGTGCCTGTAGTCCCAGCTACTTGGGAGGCTGAGGCAGGAGAATCGCTTAAACCTGGGAGGCAGAGACTGCAGTGAGCCGAGGTCGCTCTACTGCACTCCACTCCAGTCTGGGTGACAGAGGGAGACTCCGTCTCCAAAAAACAACCAAACCAAAACAAAACAAAAATAAGAGAGCATAATGTGTAAATGGAATTAAAAAACAGTATTGCACCAGAGAAAGAGAACTACAAAAAGAGCCACAATAAAACTGCAGAACTGAAAAAGGCAAGAGATGAAATTAAGGACTCAATGAATGGTTTAAAAGACGATTAGACATAAATGAAAACAATTGGTAACATGGAAGTTAAAGAACATGGCTAGACTGAAGTGTGGGCAAACAAAAAGATGGAAATCCCAGAAAAGAACATAAGAGACAGATGAGAAATAACAAAAAGTTAAAATACCCATTTGTATAGTCCCAGAAAGAAAGAAGAAAAAAGGGCAAAAACAGTATGTGGAAAAGTAACAATCAAGAGCGTTTCAAAACTAACAAGGTAGAGCACGGTGGCTCACAGCTGTAATCCCAGCACTTTCGGAAGCCAAGGCGGGAGGATTGCTTCAACCCAGGAGTTCGAGACCAGCCTGGGCAACATGGCAAAACCCCATGTCTACAATAAATTTTTAAAAATTAGCTGGACATGGTGGCACATGCCGGTAGTCCCATACTCAGGAGGCTGAGGTGGGAGGATCACCTGAGTCCAGGAAGCGGAGGATGAAGTAAGCCAAGATCACACACCACTGTACTGCAGCCTGGACAACAGAGAGAGACACTGTCTCAAGAAAAAAAAAAACTAAACTAATAAAAGACATTAAGCCACAGATTCTAGAAGCATCATAAATCCCAATAAGGATAAACAGAAAAAAAAAAAAAACACACCTAGACAAATCATAGTAACACTGCTGAAAGCCAAAAACAAAGAAAAAATGATAAAAATAGCCAGAAGGGTTTTTTTTTTTTTTTTTTTGACGAAGGGAGTCTCGGCTCTTGTCACCCAGGGATGGAGGCAGTGGGTGTGATCTCAGCGCACTGCAGCTCCGCCCTCCGGGTTCACACCATTCTCCTGCCTCAGCCTCCGGATAAGCTGGGAACTACAGGTACCCCACCACACACCTGGCTAATTTTTTTTTTGTGTTTTAGTAGAGACAGGGTTTCACCGTGTTAGCCACGATGGTCTTGATCTCCTGACCTCATGATAGGACCGGCCTCGGCCTCCCAAAGTGCTGGGATTCAAGGCGTGGAAGCCACCACGCTCGGGCCCAGGTTGTTCTTATCTTACACAGTTTAAACTATACTACCTGCCCTAATGACTTACCAATTCCAATACTACTTACTGAAGAGAAATGAAAATACACGCCCACAAAAAAATAATAATAATAAAATAAACTTGTAGAAGAATGTTCACAGTAACTTTATTCATAATAGCCAAGAACTATAAATTAACCATACCAGATACTAAGACTTATTATAAAACTACAGAATATAAAAAAGTATGTTATTGGCAAAAAACAAACAAGAAAAAGCCCAACAAAAAGGAAGATTTAACAGAAACAGACTCACATATATTCAGTGACTTAAGAAGATGACACTATAGAACAACAGAGAAAAGATGGTCCTTCCAATAAATGGCATTGGTTAACTCGACACGACACACACACACACCCTCGACTGCACCATCACAGATCTGATTTCAAATGGATCACAGACTATTATGGACTGAATTGTGTCCCCACAAATTCATATGTTGAAGCTCCAACCCCAGTACCTCAGAATGTGACTGTATTTGGAGACAAGGCCTTTGGAGGTGGTCAAAATAAAATAAGGTTGTTAGAGTGGGCCCTAATCCAGTCTGACTGCTGTCTTTAGGAAAAGAGAACATTTGGATACACAAACAGATACCAGAAATGTGCACATGCAAAGGACGTGTTTGTGTGCTCGACCTCATCAGTCAGGAAAACTCAAAAGGAAAGCACAAGGAGACACCATTGTATACCTACTACAACGGTTAAAATTAGTAAGACTGGTTAAGTGTTGAATATGAAGAGCAAGAGAACTCTCATACTCTGCAAAGAAAGCATTCATAATCTTAAATTTACACAGAAGTACCTACAGTGAGAAGTATAAAGTTCTCTGACTCCAACATGAATATTGTTTTCAAAAATATCTTACCTCTTTTTGAACAAGGCTAAATTTTTCAAGTAGTTTACATTTTTCTTCAATTAGTCCAGAAAGCGTTACAGCAAGCTTTTTCTCTCTTCCTAAAAGAGTCAAGTCAATATTATCATGAGTAAATTATTGTAAGTGTTTACATCACAACAATGAGAGTTAAAGCAGAAAAAAGAACTTACCCACATAAAGCCGACTCCTAACCTGAAACAAATTTTTAACAAAAATTACATTAAAACTAATACACTCTCAAATAAATCAATTTATTTAACTTCTGCCAACTTAAAAATACAGGTTTCTTATTGCCTTAGTATAAATACAAGCCAAAAGTATTCTGTTTCCAATGAGAAAATAAATGCTCCTTTTTTTTTTTTTTTTTGAGACAGAGTTTTGCTCTGTCACCCAGGCTGGAGTGCAATGACATGATCTCAGCTCACTGTAACCTCCGCCTCCCGGGTTCAAGCGATTCCTCTGCCTCAGCCTCCTGAGTAGCTGAGATTACAGGCACCCACCACCACGCCCAGCTAATTTTCATATTTTTAGTAGAGACAGGATTTCACCATGTTGGCCAGGCTGGTCTAGAACTCCTGACCTCAGGTGATCCACCTGCCTGGGCCCCCAAAAGTGTGGGGATTACAGGCGTAAGCCACCACGCCCAGCCGAAATACTACCTATTAAAGACTCCCTATTGAAGATTCACATTGTGAATTAGCATATTAAAATGCTCTGAAATAACTTTAAAGATACTTGCAACCCATTGGTCCCCAAACATATTTGACCCTAAAAAAATAATTTCAAGAAGCTCCTATTATCATATCCCCTGATGCTAATATCCTAAATAAAACAGTCTGAGAAATGTTACCACAGGGCCATAGATCTGAACTGACTAAAGAAACAGTAAACCAAACCTTCTTCTTCCTTAACCTCTGTCTCAAATAATGAAGCGGGGGGAATTCATTTGTAAAAGGATCAGCCTTAGGGTTGAGGTAACACAAACAAGTAGAAAAGAAACGAGGACTTCAATCATCTACGGAATATGGATAGAGATAAAATTAAAAGGGAAAACCTTTAAAAGACAAGATACTCTAAAATGAGCATAGATGAAGAATAGATTTCAGTTCCTCAGATTAAGAAACTCTCTCAAAAGGTATAGAAAACCATAAAGAAATTGAAAAATAGAAGTTAAGAGATAGGGAAGTCAGAAGTAGAAGGGCCAACATCTGAAAAATAGCAGTCCCAAAAATGCATTAAAAATTTCCCAAAATTAGGCCAGGCGTGGTGATTAACGCCTATAATCCCAGCACTTTGGGAGACTGAGGCAGGCAGATCGCTTGAGGCCAGGAGTTCTGAGCAACACAGTGAAACCCATCTCTACAAAAAAAATACAAAAATTAGCCAGGCATACTAGTGCGCACCTGTAGTCCCAGCTACTCAGGAGGCTGAGGCAAGAGAATGGCTTGAGCACAGGAAGCAGATTGCAGCGAGCCGAGATCGTGCCACTGCACTCCTGCCTGGGCGACAGGAGTGAAACCCTGTCTCAAAAATAAATAAAATTTCCCAGAATTTAAAAAAAGATGAAGCTGGGCAGAGTGACATGGACTTGTATAGTCACAACTACTCAGAAAGCTGAGACAGGATAGCTTAAGCCCAGGAGTTTGAGGCTGTAGTGCACTATAATTGCATCTATGAATAGCAACTGCACTATAGCCTAGGCAACATAGTCAGACCCCATCTCTTTAAATATATATATAATATATATAAATATGTGATATATATGATATATATATAAAAATATATATATATGAAAAATCTTACATTAAAAAATCTCAATCAAGCATGGTGGCTCACACCTATAATCCCAAGACTTTGGGAGGCCCAGGCAGGAGGATTGCTTGAGCCCAGGAGTTTGAGACCAGCCTGAGCAACACGAGACCTTCATCTCTTTTTTTTATTTTTGAGACAGGGTCTCTCTCCGTCACCCAGGCTGGAGTGCAGTGTTGCAATCATGGCTTACTGCAGCCTCAACTTCCCAGGCTCAGGCAATCCTCCCACCTCAGCCTTCTGAGTGAGACCACAGACGGGTGTCCTCATGTCCAGCTAATTTTTGTATTTTTTGTAGTGATGGGGTCTCACCATATTGCCCAGGTCACAAACTCCTAAGCTCAAGTGATCTGTCTGCCTCGGCCTCCCAAAGTGCTAGGATTAGAGGTGGGAGCCACAGCACTGGGCCTGACTCTCATTCGTGATCCTCATCTCTAAAAAAAAAAAAAAAAAAAAAAACTCTGAATCCTTATGTAGTTTCTAACTTGTTTCCTTAAAATAACAAATAAGTAAGTTTCTCATATTATTTGTTCAGCCCAGTGACAGAATGAACATTCTCTTAGTATAGCACTGGTTACTTACCGATCTAAAACTTCTCCACAAAAAAAATATAACAGCAAAAAATCCAACAAGAGCTGCACATATCACCAATTCCCATGGAAAACCATAAGAATCTGGTCTCATACCTTCAGGCAATGCTGCCACAACCTTCAAGATAAAGAAAAGTTAAGTTCTTAAAAATGTACTTTTGATAAAAACATTGATTACAAACATAGGTACAAGTTTATGTGGTCAACACAAAATGGGCTACCAGACTAACATGGAAACAGAAGGTATCAGAGTACATTTTTTTGGCAACTTTCAATCACTATCACCAAGTAAAGAACAGCAGTATGGTGAAATGCAATTATCTTCAAATTGGAGTTCTACAGAGGTGCCTTAAAGCTTCCAAGGATGAGAATAAGAGAAGGCCAGAGAAAGAAACTGAGTGACCTGGGGTTCAGGTCACTTACCCTGATTTCAACCAGTTTAGGTTTTATCTGTAGAGTATAATCAGTTCCCCAATATACAATTTCCTTACAGGAAGAAAAAATCAATTTGCAGCTTTAAAAATAAAAACTTTGATTCAAAGTCGGCCTGGGCAACAAAGTAAGACCTGTCTCAAAAAAAAAAAAAAAAAGTTTTGAACGCCACTGATAGAGCTTTGGGTTTGGAGTTTGAATCTCTCCACCCTACCTCTGCAGGTCCCTTCTCTTATGTGTAATGAGAATAATGCTGTTTGAACATGCCAGATAGGTGTTCAATAAAGGGTAATTATTTCTACTATCTCCTCCAAAGGTCCTGCTCTTCTGACCATGGCCTTTCCACATTACTTCTCCCCATAGCAGACCTTCAGCACAACACAGCCTAAGGTTTTTGCTGTTGCTTCTATATTTCACCTTTCTCTGGGTCAGTTCATTACTCATCCTTACGTGTTGGTTGTTCGTCTACCCAGTGTCCTCCTAAGATCCATGATATATCCTCATAAAAGAAAGGGGAAGCAATGGTGAAAAAGTAAATAAGACCATTAGAACAAAACTGGAAAAAGGAGGCCCGGGCGCTTTTTTTTTCGAGTGGGCTCAAGCCTGTAACCAGCACTTTTGGGAGGCCGAGGGACGGTTTTTTTTGTCGGATATTGATTGGTCAGGATCGAACCGTCCGCTGGACACGTGAAACCGCTTCTCTACTAGAAAAACTTAGTCGGGCGAAGGTGGCGGGGCCTGTAGTCCCAGCTACTTCGGGAGGCTGAAGGCAGGGAATGGGTAACCCGGGAGGCGGGTTGCAGTGAGCTGAGATCCGGCCACTGGCACTCCAGCCTGGGGCCACAGAGCGAGATCCGTCTCAAAAAAAAAAACAAAGGAAGAAGAAAGAACAAACTGAAGTATGATCGGGTTTGATTCTTTTCAGGCTTTAACCCAAAACATCTATAGCAAATCTTCCTTTTAGGCCCTTTCTGCCTATAAGAACAGTATTTATAGTTATTTTCCTCTCCAAAATCTTGTATAACTCTAATCCAAATATATACTCCTTCCAAAGTACTATCTATACTTCATTAACCTGTACCAAACAAACCTGATTATACTTCTAAAAAATATCCCTTTACCCTGATCTCTGCTTCTGCCTCTCCCTACATTACCCTAGGTACCAGTTCACAGAAATCTAATATCATTACAGGCAATTAATGATTTTAAAAAAATACTTATTTTGCCAATGGGGGGAAAAAGGCATTCAATACATAATACCAGTGAGAAAAGTTTTCTTCACAGTTTACACATTTTCCAAGCATCTTACTTTTAGCTAACTTAACTCACACATAAGATGCACACTACCTCAAAAATTGTGTAATCAGTATGACTTATGATACTCTAAAAGGCAATTCCAAAAGCATCTCTCAGATCAAACATGTAATTATCTTCAGTGCAATAATATTTCTTTGATTCAATCATATTTTATCAGCTCTTCTCCTCTAAAAGGACATGGTAAATTCTAGTTTAAAGCATTGAGCTAGGGCCGGGCGCAGTGGCTCAAGCCAGCACTTTGGGAGGCTAAGGCAGGTGGATCACATGAGGCCAGGAGTTCGAGACCAGCCTGGCCAATATGGCAAAACCCTGCCTCTACTAAAAATACAAAAATTAGCCAGGCATGGTGGCAGGCACATGTAGTTCCAGCTACTAGAAAGGCTGAGGTGGGACAATCGCTTGAACCTGGGAGGCAAAGGTTGCAGATCGCGCCACTGCACTGAAGCCTGGGGGACAAAGCAAGACTCTGGACTCTGTCCCAAAAAAAAAGTCGGGGGGGGGGGATTAAGGAAACATGGAAATTAAGGATTACAAAAAAAAAAAAAAAAAACACTTTTTTTTTTTTAAGTTAGGAAGTATAAGAAATACTTCCTAACTTATTCTATGAGGCCGGTATTTACCCTAAAAGCCAAACAAATACATCACAAGAAAAGAAAATCACACACCAATATATCTTACGACTACAGATGCAAAAATCCTCAAAAACATATTGACAAAACAAATCCAACAACATATAAAAAGGATTATGTACCAAGACCAAGTGGGATTTATCCCAGAAATGCAAGGTTGGTTTAACATACAATAATGTAATAAACCATATTAAAACTTTTTTTTTTTTTGAGGGGGAGTCTCACTCTGTTGCCAAGGCTGGAATACAGTGGCACCGTGTAGGCTCACTGCAACCTCCGTCTCGTGGGTTCAAGCAATTCTCCAGCCTCAGCCGCCTGAGTAGCTGGGATTACAGGCACCCACCACCATGCCCAGCTAGTTTTTATATTTTTAGTAGAGATAGGGTTTCACCATGTTGGCCAGGCTGGTCTCAAACTCCTGACCTCAAGTGATCCACCTGCCTTGGCCTCCCAAAGTGCTGGGATTACAAAAAATAAAAATGAAAAAGACTTTAAAAACAAAAAATAAAATAAAACCTTGAGCTGGTTAGATCTGGTGGGCAGGAGAAAAGCAAAGAATCTGAGTCTTGGCCAGGTATGGTGGCTGAGGCCTGTAGTCCCAGCACTTTGGGAGGCCGAGGTGGGTGGATCACTTGAGGTCAGGAGTTTGAGACCAGTCTGGCCGACATGGTGAAACCCCATCTCTACCAAAAATACAAAAATTAGCTGGGCATGGTGGCATGAGCCTGTAATCCCAGCTACTCAGCAGGCTTGAACCCAGGAGGAGGCTACAGTGAGCCAAGATCGCGCCACTGCACTCCAGCCTGGGTGACAGAGCAAGACTCCGTCTCAAAAACAAAAAAAGCAACTGAGTTCTAAAGGATTCATCTCAAATTCATTGCTCTGGTCTAAATTATTCCAGCTTTCTCAAAGAGATTTTCACCCTTAAATTTTATCTACAACATAACACCCTATCTCACAAAAACATAGAAAGACCAACCAAATTTCTCAAATATCAACAAATATAATACAGAATTACATGTAATCTGATAAACTGGAATTTAAAGGGTGATAGGTAACCCCCCCCCAAGAGTAACCCTCCATAAAATATGGTAGTGACTAACCACAGAACACTTAAAATCTATTCCATTTCCAAAACATAAGTACTAAAGGAGTTCAAGATCAAGTAGCTTTAAAAAAATCAATTAATCAAGTTGATAAAATATACTAAGAATGAACTAAAATTGTTTTTCATCTAATCTCAAACATGATATATATTAATAACAAAAAGAATGTCAATATGCAGGCCCTGTAAATACTTGATTAAAACACAAAGTTCCATGAAGGTACACCTCTCCAAGATAAAATATGAACGCCAATTACTCTTAAACTATTCCCAAACATACAGGAGGAAGAAATATTTCCTAACTTATTCTATGAGGCCAGTATTTACCCTAAAAGCCAAACAAATACATCACAAGAAAAGAAAATCACACACCAATACATCTTATGACTACAGATGCAAAAATCCTCAAAAACATATTGACAAACCAAATTCAACAGCATATAAAAAGGATTATATACCATGACCAAGTGAGATTTATCCCAGAAATGCAAGGTTGGTTTACCATACAATAATGTTATAAACCATATTAAGAAAATGAAGAGAAAAAAAAAACACATGATCATCTCAACAGACACAGAAAAAGCATTTGACTACATCTAGCACCCTTTCATAATCAAAACATTCAACAAAAATTAGCCAAGCATGGTGCCACATGCCTGTAGTCCCAGCTACTCAGAAGGCCAAGGCGGGAGAATCATCTGAGGCCAGGAAGTTGAGACGGCAGTGAATCATGATCATGCCACTGCACTCCGGCCTGGGAAAGAGAGTGAGGCCCTGTCCCAAACAAACAACAACAAAACAAAACACACTCAACAAAGTACGATTTGAGGGAATTTCCTCCACCTGACAAGGAACATCTATGCAAAACCTACAGTTAACATCATACTTAATGATGGAAAAAAAAAAAAAAAGCTTTTCTCCTAAGGTCAGGAACAATAACATTCACTCTATCAACATGAATTCAATATTGTAATGAAGGTTCTAGCCAGAGCAATTAGGCAAGAAAAATAAATAAAAGGCATCCAGACTGGAAAGGAAGAAGAAAAACTGTTTGAAGATGACAATGCTATTCTACATAGAGAGAAAATCCTAAAGAACCTATAGAAAAACTATCAAGAGCTAGTAAGTTCAGCAAAATAGCAGAATACAAAATCAACATAGAAAAATCAGTTGAATTTCTATACAATAGCAATGAGCAACCTGAAAATGAAATAAAGAAAACATTTCCATATACAATAGCATCAAAAAAGTAAGATTATTAGGAATACATTTAACAAAAGAAGTGCACACTAAACTACAAAACATTGTGGAAAGAAACTAAGGAAGACCTAAACAAATGTAAAGCCAATCCATGTCCATGGGCTGGAAGGCTTCTTCGTTTGAGACAGGGACTGACTCTGTCGCCCAGGCTGGAGTGCAGTGGTGTGATCTTGGCTTACTGCAGCCTCGCCCTACCCAGGCTCAGGTGATCCTCCCATCTCAGCCTCCCAAGCAGCGCAACTACAGGCACACGCCACCTCGCCCAACTAATTTTTGTATTTCTTTCAGAGACAGGATTTTGAGAGTGGCAGGAGGCAGGCAAATGCTTAGGCAGATAGGGGCAGGTCCCTAGTGAAACCCCAACTTCAAGCCAAA